CTCTGGCATTCATAGTTGATGTAAACAATAACATCAATCTCATTTCAACGGACATGTGACCCCTCCTAGGAGCAGATAATCCCCTTTCTGTATCCAGTGCTAGTAATTTCTCCTGTCCATCAACAGTTTATGAGGAGCTCAGGATTTTTGTGTGGTTTTGGGGAATCTGATACTTTTAGCTATAACCTAAACCTTTGGAAGCCATTGTGCTAGAGGGTTAGACAGAATCCAGCTCATCTGTTTCTTAGAGAGCAAGCATACATAGAAAAGGACTAAGATGGGGAGACATTCAGAAATTTTGTTCCTTTTAGATACCTCTGATTCAGTACAGTCTTAAAATTCTTAGAAAGAAGCCTGACCATGACGCATATTTTTAAGCTACTGGTTCATCTGTGAGTGACAAGTGTCCCTGAATCTTCAAATATTAACTTTTCCATCCTGTAAGGAAAATGTAGTATTTGTCTTACATAGTGTCCTATGGCATCTGTAAGTTTGTGAATGAAACCTGATCAAGGCCTAAAGCAGCAGGCAATATCTTTACTTACAGTATGATTAAGGAGTAGTTAAGCTAACCTTCTCCCTTTAACTACTGGTGTGAACTTAAATGGTTCTGCAGATCAGAAGATGATGTCTCCTTTAATGGTAATTCAATAATCTAACACTAACTTTTATAGTATATCTAAACGAACAGTCAAAAAGCAATTCAGGCTAAGAATTTAAAACTGTTTTCTCCACAAACTAAAATGTTCCACTAATCATTCTTGCACAAACTAACATGAAGAGTGGGCTCCTTAAATAGCAGTAGACAATAAATGTAAGTGCCTTGATATGCAAAGACATTTATTTTCTCTCTTGAAGCTAAGGAGTGTACATGAGATTCAGTATGTTCAGTTCTTATTATTTTATATGGCGTCCATTACTGGCATTAGTAAACACCAGTTTCAGGCTGAACATACCCCTGGTTTTACCCCCCATGGCAATTCTTAGCTCCGTTATCATGCTCTACCAACCTGCAGGCTGCTGTGAAGTAAGAAAAATCCCCAGAGATCTGGAAGTCTTGCCAACAGATTAACAAAAAATTCTTGCTGGCTACAAGGTGGTTAAAGGTCGGGTTAAAGACTTGACAAATACATTACTTATATGAACCAATTACAAAAAAAAGGCGAGCATGACAATTTTCGACAGTAGGAAAATCTGTATGTGGTCAGGACTACTTAAAACCTTGCTCTTTCTTCTGAGGCATTGTTTTGTGGTGGGAAGCCAATGCACTGTTCTGTCTGTATACTACCAGTGTCTGCCCACACCATCCAAGGTATATTGTGAGCAGAAATAAAGAAAAGAGAAGGATCTAGTAAATTAAATTAAAAAAAAAAAAAAGTATTTAGGTGTGAAATACATATGAAAGGTTTATCATGTTGTTTTTTTCTAACACATGCAACCAGGTCTTATATGTCTTAGATTTTAATCTTTTGGCTCATTCTATGATAACTCACACAAGACTAGTTTTGATAACTGAGTCATTGACTAAAAACACAATAACAAAAAATCTGCTCAATATAAATAGTCCTAAAATGATTTATTATTCATAAAATTTAAGTACAGTTAAAGTGGGAAAAAAACCCCATGTATTGGCTTTGGGCTCATAACAAAAAGAGCTTCTCCTGTTTTATGAGCCTCAGATTACCAAATAACCTTGACAGCTGAATCAGTGTTCCATGACAACAAGCAGGCCATTGATAAATAGCAACAAAACTATTAGACGTTGAATTTATGAGATGAGTAATAGAGAAGCTAAATTATAGGTTTACCATTTGACAAACTACAGCTTGACAAAACTGTGCTAACATACTTGTGTGTGTATGTGTGAATGTACACAAGCAAAAGAGAGAAATAGAAACTTTTTAAGACAAAGGTAAAATTGACATGACATGAATGTTACAAAGGTGTAAAAATATTATTTTCATAGTAGATAAATTCCGGGTGTCCATTATCAAGTACTTAACAAAAAAAGTGTAAGTACTTGAAAAAGATACCACTTCTGAAGTTTTTTTCTGGTTTTATTTTAATTCTACTTTTAAGCACTATAAGGTAGAAAAGAAGGGAAATTGCTGGTACACAGTAGATCTTTAAACTGCTTAACTACTGCAAAATGATAGATTCTAGTTAAAACGTAAAACCAGCAGTTTAAAAAGTCAGCAGTGAATGCAAGAGTATATTCTGCTGGAGTTGAAAAATCTCTTCCTGGCCTTTGGAGAGCAGTTTGCACTCCCTAGGAAAGAAGCAACAACTTTATTTTGTCATCTTCCTGTAATCAGAGTGCAAGGTGTCAGGAATGGTTCTACTTAAAGTTGACTCTCATGTATTCACTTATCTTAAAATTATGGGAACTATAGAGGAAACCTGGGTGAGCGGCTACTCGTGTACAGAAAAAGGACAAGCTAATGTATAGGTCTTTCATACAGAACAAACTTTCTAACATGAGCAATGTGCTTCCAGGTGGATTTGCATGCCTCCTGTCCTGCAGCAGCTTTTGATTAACTGCTGTAAACTGTAGAGGTTACAGGCAAGTGGGATACTTGTGCTCTCATTTCCCAGAGCAGATCTGCAGGTGGCAGGTGGCAGCTGTATCCCCACACTGGTCTTTACTGTGGTCTGCTAACATCTGAGTTTGACTATCTTTCACAGTTGTGGTGAAAACCCAACATGTTTAATAGCTGTTATGCCAGCCCACAGTGGTGGGCTTATAACATTATGTTACTAGATAAAAATTGTGCTTAGCAGCCGAGCAAGAATACAGCAATCAGTTTATCATGTTTTCCCTTAACTTGACTGGAAGATACACAATAGTCAAATTAGAGGATTAAAGCTGAAGATCTAGATGAAGTTCTGTGACCTGTGTTGCACAGGAGGGCATACCAGATGATCTAATTGGATCTTCTGTTCTAAAAATCTATTAATTATGCTTGTGTAAGAAACAGCTGTATCTTTGTCAAAGGGGAATTAAACACTAGAAATTCATCTTGTCCTAAACACTCTTACGGTAGCTACTGCAGGTAAATTTGAAGCTTGACAAATAAATGAGAAAGATCAAAAGCAAACCTAGTAAAGGTTTTGCTTGATAAAAACAATTGTGTGTAAAGGGTTTTCAAAGATTTGTAGTTTATTCAACTTTCCTGAAACAACATGGATGGTATGAACTGCTGTTCACAAATATGAATTAAGAAACTCTTGATTGCATTTCCTTATAAATAAATTATACATATTTATCCACACTACATCCATCCCTCATGTCTGTTATACAGACATGATTTCTGAGGCGTCGCTTATACCATCGTGATTCTGACCTTTAATATAATATTCATGTTATTCTCTATTCATAAACAGAGAAATAACACAGAAGCCATAATACACTCAACTACAGCAGGTGTTTAACATCCAGTATTCCTGATGCCCATAGAATTTTAGCTTTCAGGACATCAAGAATATCCACTGTGTTTAAGATGCATATGGTAGAATTTTAACATTCCCCCTAAAATGCAGATCTTCTTATTTCCATGTCCTTCATGTTTTCAATGATGGATTGCCAAAAAGGTGCTTGGCCAAAAATGGGTATTTTTTTTCAACAAAAAGCTCAAGTTAGTCATATGCTTTCATCCAAAACAATCAGAACCTGAGCCAATTTAGTGCACATAAGATACCTTGGAAGGATTAATTTATGCTGTTGAGCTTGTAATATGTGTAACCAATAAGAGTTCTCTGCATACATGGATTTTTTGCAAATCTTGCAGCTAAGTCAGTGAGCCAAATGCAAAATCCAACACTTAAGGGCATCGTGTAGACTTGTAAAGCGCTCTGGGGGTGCCTAAGGTCGGGAAAACGTTGAGTGGATTACACAGATTCATATATGTAGGTTTTTCATCTCTGACAGATATAATATGAGCACTATTATTCATACTACTTAAATTTCTTAGAATACTATGTGTGAGAGAACAATGAAGTCATGTTAAATCGTTTACACAAAGACTTATTAAACAAACACACTTGAAGGTTCAGGCCTCTTTAGTGAGGTGTTGTATGTTGTAACACCTGTATGTCTTTCAGATCATCTGCAAGGCGGCGAAGGTTTTGCTAAATATCTGTAGAAGTAAATTAATATGCAGATCCATACGTGGATCTTATAGGAGCTGAAAGAAGTATATCAAACCTGCTAAAAATCTTCCTCTTTAAAATACTGCCCTCTATTCTCATGTTGCCTGAAAGTTAGGAATCTAGACTGGGTAAGGCCTTTCCCAGGGGATGGCTCACCCTGTTTACCAGATAGATCTAGTTTTAAGTGGGATGAATTGCTCTCTGGAAGAGTCTTTTTCTAGAGCCTATATAGAGACCTAAGAGATTAAACTAGGCATTTATGACTGGAGTTAATGAAATTAAGCAAATACTTGAGACAGTTATTGAAAGAGTGACTTGTCTTGCAAAATGTTCTGAAGTTAGTGTGTTTCACACAGGCTTTATGCTGTTGAACTCAAGGTGTGTGACTGGATATCTGTACTGATGTAAAGGTAGTGGAGTCAAAGGCTCAGGATGTTATAGTACAACTGGTGGTATATTTTTCTGCTTAGATGTTTCTCTGGATTATCAACCCAGACTGAGATTTTGTTTATCCTTTTCTGGGTCTATTTATTTCACTGCACAGCAGGGTTTTATATTAACATATGCTTACTTAGGAGTAAAGACGTTGGGTTATGGGTTTTTAGGTTTTGTCTTCCTCTTCATTCCCCTTCTGCAAACAGATTGTGGCAGCAGTGAAAAGAACTGGGGCCCACCTGTGCCCTGAACTTTGAGTACATGAGCTAAAGTTAAATATCCACTAAACACAACTTGCTGAAACTTCAAGTGAATTAATATTTTGTCAGTCCTCACTTTTATACTTAAAATTATTAAACAATTTACCCCTCACTTCTCCCACTTCTTTCTCTATCCTTGGCGACTGATCATTGCAGTGCCTACAAATGCTCCATGGCTAAGAAGAGAAAAGCTGAAGAACAGATATCAGGTGTTCCTGTCAACAAAAGGAAGTCCCTGTTAATGAAACCCCGCCACTACAGCCCCAGCTTGGAATGCAAAGAAGAAAATGAAGACAGGACGGATTTACAGGGAGAGATCAGTGTCCTCAAAAGCAGCTCAACTCCAGGTAGTCGTGAAGTGTGGCTTCTCTGGAACCTGAATTCCGCAGGAAGGGAGATATGAAACATTATTTTCAAAAAGGATGCAGAATGTGTTTGACTTCTAACAGGGTTGGAATGGTGTATTTCTGTCTAGGTTTAACTATCGTATTTCCAATTATTTTGTACAGTAACTTCTCCTGGGGTCTAGTGAATGCTTTGTAGGTCACACAGAGACAACTACTGCAGCAGGTCAAATATGGAGCAGCATCTGCTTCTCCACTAGCTCTGTCAAAGAACAAGGTTAAGCCCACCACTGAGAAAAACTCATTTATGAAGAGCAGATTTTCACTGGAATATATAGAGCTTTTAGGAAGAAATAAAAATGCTTAGCAAAACATTGTTGACCTTAACATTTAGCAAAGCAATTTCATGCATGTGACTGCTACGTGTGTTCTGCTTAACGCGATTATTAGACTCAGCACTTTTATAATTGTTATTCCAACTCTACTAAGCCAAACACGTCCAACAATTTATAGAAACTTCTACAACATATGCTGGAAATTATGGGAGAGGTTGGGAAGACAGAAAGATATAGCTACAGCATGTCTTTATTGCTTTTTCTTTCTGATATGTGTTTATATATATTCAAGATGAACAACAAATATCAAACTAAATTGGCTGCCACATATTCATTTAAGGAGTCCTGCACAAATTGCTAATCAGGCAAGTGAGAAGATTTCAGTGGAATGCATTCTGTATTTGTTTTAAAAGGAGGAGTCATCAATAGATAGTACGTTTCAAGATAAAAGCAATGTGATCTGGTACTGGCAAATTAGTAATCATAGATAATATGAAAACACAATTAACTTACATTCCCCTCAGTTGCTGGTTGATACAGGAGTAAAAAGGTAATTTATTTTCCACTCAGTTTCTTCTTATCAAATATTTTGGAAGGACAGGGTGCTAAATAATCTCATCTAGGTTCCCTTTCCCACAAAAGGTTCAACCAGATGATCATCTGAGTTCCCTTCCAACCTAGGCTGTTATATGTTATTGTGATGAACTGGGATTAGGAATTTATATCTTTATTCACTCTAAATAGAATTACCTTAAAAACAAAGCAAACCCCCCAAATTTTATACATATGAATGTTATAAAACACATAGAAAAAGAAGGTTGTCTTTTAAATTTAAGAGGCAAATCCTGGTTCTACTGAAACAAGTGGAGGTCTTCGTGTGATTTTTATTTGGCAAAGATTTCAGCCCATTGTCACTTGTAAGTCTTGTAGGAGACTTTTCCAGGGGTCTGCATCCCATAGGTGTGAAAGCCTAGAAGGGAGGTCCCTCTTCAAACAGAACATTAATTAACAAGGTGATACTCAATGTCTATGTCTTTTGGGTGATGTTACTAAATTAAATTCATCAAGAAACAGCTCCGTGGTTTTCAGTGTCTGTTCAGCCTGAAAGGAGCATTTGTATTTCCTAACACCAGAAGAGAAGGTGTTTAAGAGTCCTGCATGGAGTTTTTTGGTTTGTTTGGTTTTGGTTTTGGTTTTGGTTTGGTTTGTGTTTTTTTTGAGATATATAGGTTTTAGCTATTTTTTCTTGGTTTGATTCAGACTCATTCCTGGACACCCAGAGCTGCCCTCAGTAATGTGCTTTTCTTTCCCTTGTGTCTGTCCACTGCACAGCTTGAAAAACTCACTGAAGGGAATGCACTATGATGAGTGTAAAGGTAGAACTTGTGCCTTATACAGATGAACCTAAGTTATTTAACTGTTCCTTTTTTTTAAAAGAGGGCAAGTGTTGGGCCAGATCCATTGATATAAATGTAGATGAACCCTACTTGTACTCAGGCCTTTAGTCAAAAGAAAAAAAAATTTGATTTCAAAAAGATTTATTTGGTACCACTGAGATTTTGTCCAAACTGCTTGCATCAGTGATAATACAACCTATCCCTTCTGCATTAATTTTGCTAGCTACAAAACAAACCAGCTAAAGCATACAGCTGGTCTGGGTATGTAGGTTCATTTGTAATTTCTTAGTGTAATATTGCTCATTTTATTGTGAACTCATGATTCTTGTCTGTTATCAGTTAATGCCTCAGTTCATGGATTGGTGCAACTGTAAACTAAGCTGAGTTTTGATTATTTTTAAAGTAAATTTACAGGCTGTAGAAGTGAAAAATAAAGCTGGGACAGCTGAACCATTAAGAATGGTTCAACAACAAATTTTTAAACATTGCATTTCAAAATTACTGATTACTTAAGGAGCAAAAATCTGTTATCATTTATTTATACAATTTTTCATCTTCCACACAGAAAAATAATGAAAAAGACCTGTTACTGTTTTCGAGTTTTGTTTGTTTTGTTTTGTTTTGAAGGGTGAGAGATTTCTTTTAAAACTAGAACTTCTTACTCTTTGAAATGACCCACTCATGGGATTTTTTTATTTTCCAAATGGCAGAGGAGCAAATAATAAAACCCCCCATTTGACTAAATTTGGTTATAGAGCCAAATCATCATTTTTACTTGCTGAGATGTGAAAAGACAGCAGAATTCTTTATTCAGAACACTGCAATGTGTGTGGTACTAGACCAGCTGCTGAAGTTACGCTAAGGTTTACAGACATTTTTTTTAAACACAACTTTATGCACACAGTGCACAAGGCCACCTCTCCCTCCATGAGACCAATTTTCTGAAGAAGAATAAGAATTAATCAATATTTTCTTTTAACATATAACAAACAGTTGAACCAAACAATTATGTAAACTGGAAATGACCCAAAATGCTAACAGTTTGGCAGCAGTAAAGTGAAATGCATTGTGGTGCACATGTGCATTTTTGTCCCCCTTTTCCCCTCCACAATAATCTGCACTTAATAGGAATATTTTAAACTATGTAGCTAAGCAACAGAGGTAATTGTTGCTTTCTAGAGCTTTTGTTAGGCACTCTAACACAGCCCAAATATGCATAATTAGGTATAATGTCTATAAATCATTATTGTACACATGTGGGTAGTTAAGTGGATTGAGAGAATAGTTCAATGAATTGGACATATTCACTGAAAATGCTTTTTATTTGTTTTCTGTAGTTCATAATACTTTAAAATTATCATAACCCTTTACACTTTCTCTTAATAGCTCGCTGTGTTATTGAGAGAAACTTCATTTGCATTTTAGACTATGCTTAATTTATTATTTAAACCTGGAGTTCTTCTGATTCAGGAGAGGATAGACACATCTTATGAAATAGTCTGTGCTTGTTTATTCATCCTCCTTTCTAGGAAGTAAAATGTTAAATTTTTCAGTTTATGTTGAATAGATCCCAACAAAAGAATGTACCCTATAATCAGCATTATTGAAGGGGCTAGTGTTGTGACTAAATTCTTCCCTTCATCCAAAAATGCTTTTAGTTACTATGGCAATATTTACTTGATCCTGGCAAACCAGTGTTGATTTTAGAGAGATAATTACCAGAAAGGAAGATGATGGAGATGTATTTTTGAGTGTCCTTGTCGGAGGAAATGTTTATAAAAAATTAAATGAGATACAAAAGGCATATTGTCTTCCACACCGACAACCACTCCTACATGCAGCCTTTATTACCTGCTGGCTGCTGCTTTTCTTCTGAAGAAAGATGTTTATAAAGACAGGATGCACTTCAGTGGTGTCTTTAACAAGTCCTTTATGAGACTGTACATAACAGCCATTTCTGTTTGCCTGTGCATGACCTGATCTATCACTTAATGTGGCAATTGCAATAGTGACCAGGAGCTGCCCTTTGTGAAATATTGAGGTTTTTTCCGTCAAGGTCTTTCATGGGATCTGGGGTGACTATGAAAGTAATTAGGGTCTATTTTGAGAAAATATTTGGGAACCTTAGATGAAATAAAAGTGAAAATAGATTAGAGGAATTTTAAAATGTGTGTGTGTGCTTGTATATAGATATGCTATGCATGTATGGTACAAATTGTGTGTGTATATATATAATATCTATCTATATATGACACATTATTTTTAATATGAATGTATATGAAAGTTCATGTGTTCTAAAATAATATATGTCTTTACCATTAGTAAAAAATGGCAACATATTTACTTCTCATATAGCTTTGGAGCTACAAGATGAAGTAGATAAAATGTTAGAAGGGCTTTTCTTGATGCTACAGGCAGTCATTTCGAACACAGCCTTGGTATGAATTCAATCATTTCAGAGTACCTTTGAGTAAAGTAAGTAAATATCTTCATATCACTTCTACAAGATACAGATATTAGTTATTCTTACATATTTTTCTCTTGCTTTTTTTCTCATGCAGAGGAAAGTACTCCAAAATCATCTGAGGAAACCTCTCATTTGGGTGGGCAAGAAAATTCCAGTCAGAGAAAAGATAACTACTCCAGCTATCAGGATGCCATGGCGAAATCTTTGATGAACATGGGAAAATTAGCAAAAGATGCACCCACTCAAACAGTGGCAGAAAATCTAAATGATAGCGGCATTCAATCCTTAAAAACAGAAAGTGATGACACTGATGAATGTTACATGATTAACTCAGTTGAAGGAAAGGAAAAGACTGTTATTTCTGACCCAAAATACTGTTCATCTGAGGAAAATGAAAGTAACTCTGAAATTATGGACAACGAGTGGGACAGCTCCTCAAATTTCTCAGAAGAAACTAGTGTAAAGCACCATGTAACTCAGAAGTATATTATAGAGTGTAATCAGCCTAACATCCTGGAAGTCCCAGAAATTAAGAAGGAAGAGGTAGAATTTGGCCCTTGTGAAACACTTTGTGACTCAGAAACAGAGCTAAGAGCACCCCAGGAGTCTCACCCAGATCCTTTCGAGAAGAGAATTCAAAATCCCTTCCCTGAAAGTGAAGAAGATGACAACGAGTGCCTGTCAGAAACCACAGAAGTGTCAGTTGAGCTGGACAAAACAAAAGGGAACTTGAGTTTGCTAGAACAAGCAATAGCTCTGCAGGCAGAGCAAGGGCATGTGTTTCACAGCACCTACAAGGAACTGGATAGGTTTCTTCTGGAGCATCTAGCAGGGGAAAGGAGACAAACCAAAGTTATTGACATTGGTGGGAGACAGATATTTAGCAACAAACGTAAGGAAGTATTTTTGGCTGTTCTTACTGGCTTAAGCTTTTATCCTGTGACTGATAGAGGATTCTGATCTGGGTTTTATAGCAACAGTAAAGAATCTGGAATTTAGCTGGTAATTTTGTTAATTATGTACCTTCACACTAGTGCCTTACATCTAACCAGGTTAAATGCTAGGTACTTGGCTTCCTGCCAAACCGCTATTGAAATGAGTACTAAAAGGGCTGTGTAGCTGGCACTGGCACTCCTTCTCCTCCTTTCCCTCCTCCTCTGCCTCCTCCTCCATAGGGCGCTAATACATGCCTCCTAAATTTCTGCAGCCAAAAGAGAAGGCATTAAAACAGTGCTTAAGGAAAAGTCAGGGTGAAAAATTGGCCTCTTTCAAACATACCACCTAATTCCTGAGCCATGTGTTTTCCGAGTTCAGTCTACTTCACGTATCAACATTACATTTTGCTTCAGCCAGCACTTCTGAGCCAGGAAAGCACACGCCATGCTCTTCTGCCTCATTCACCATCAGCAGAATTACCAGTAAGTTCCAAAATCTTTATTGTTTCTGATGGTTTGTGGCATCCTACAAAGCTGTAGGAACATTGCTCCATTTTCGGTACTTAATCAGGCTTCCAGAACTGGAGCTTCAAAAGATTTGTGTTAGATTTGTAAACTGGGCTGTCTTGCATGAAACTCCTTAATTGAGGATAGTTAGGGAACATCAAGAGATGTCATTTTATAAGTACACTCCCTGCTGTACTAACTAATGATACATTCATCTCTTCTTTGACTTTTCCTTCTGAGCTTCCAAATATACTGAGGTCACCCCAGGACTGCTGCAATTTTTGCTTTTGATAAATGATTTACTTTGGTAATTATAGTGTTACTTTAGAGTAGTCCCTGGAGACATTGCAAATATTATGGTCGTTTAGTTATCTGAAGTATTTAGTGTATGAGATAACTGACAAGTTATTTTATGAGTTGCAGCTACAACAAGTATTGTCTGTAGTATTTGGGAAGACTATTCATGCACCTTATTTTTCTGTCTCAAGCAGTCTTTTCATTAGTATGTCTTAAGCTGTGAATGCACGGTATTAGTCTACCTCCTTGTTAAACTACGTAAACCTTTATTTGTTCAGATGACTATGGTATATGTAGAAATTTTACAGATAGATTTTCTTATCCAGAGATCAGATGAGTTTACCAGATTCATGTTGGTGTCAGTGTGACTTTCTCAGAGCACACATAGGAAGGAGCAGGAACGGTAAGCATGGCAGAATGTGGCCCTTCCTGGTTTGCTTTGTATTTTTTTTGTATTTTTTAGCTGTAGTTTGCAGGTGAGTTCAGAAGTATCATTCATGGAGGAAAAAACTAGGCTTTGTTCAGGTTGTATAAACACCGTACAATTTTTGTCAATGTAGTATCTGGCACATAATTTTTTCACTTCACATAATTAACTGGTTTTTATTTCTAAAAAAAATCTATCATCAAATCCATCAGCTCTTAATTTTCTTTCTTGGATGCTACATCAGAAAGACATGGCTTACATTTATATTTTTCCATCTTTTTAATGATAAACCTTTCTAATTGGGGAGGGGGGAAATTAAATCATATTTCAGGATCCCTGTTTATTTTCTGTCCACTGTTGCAGCACTTTCCATTTGCAGTGATTCTAAAACACATGTGGTCTCCTGTTGACGCTCAGTCTATTTTCTTTCCTCCCTCCTTCTTTTCTTTTTTTAACCTAAAAACTTGCCAGGAAGTTTAACCCTCATCTGTCTCTGGCGATCATGCCCCTAACCACGTCCTACCTTGCAGTCCAACCAAATGAGCTTGAAGGAGGCTGCTCCCTGTGCTGGCTGCAGCTGTTTTCTCCCGCAGCGCCGAATGATGTTGGCAGCCAATCGCAGATGGATCTAAAACCATCCTCAGCAATTTATGCGGCCACTTCCTCCAGATTTCTCACAAGAGAATTTCTGGACCAGAATTCATTCCTTTCTCGCCCAGACTTTTGATCCTGCATTAGAAATCAAATAAAGGCTTTCTGACCACTGCTTCTTGCACAGTTCTAGGTGCTTGAAACAAAAATTGGGAATGCACTGCAGCCATTGCAGAGTGGTAGCTGTGGGGCTGGGCTGAGACCTCGCCTTTGAAAGGGTATCGGCTGCTCCATGTTTTCACTGTCATTGTGGGCTGCTCCACAAAGCGGCATTGCCATGTGTACCAGAGGGAGCTGCCTGCCTTGCCTCTCAAATGTAAAGTGGCATGTATTCAGTTTCCTAACAAAGAACCTACAGCCTAGAGATATGCGATATTTAAGGAATGGCTTCTGGTTGAAATGCTTTTTGTTTGTTTGTTTCACACCTCAGCTTTTATTTGGTTGTCCCAGCTTCCTGGAGTCTGACATTAACAGAGTAAGAGATTGTTTCTGCTTTTTTTATTTATTCCTTTATAGATCTTGCTGTTGGCTGATGCTGCCAGTTTTCTGGCTTATTGGATTGTGGCTTCTGTCCTGTTTGAGGCTCTGAATGGAATAAATGACACTGCAATCCTAAAGCTACATAGTTTAGCACATAAATGGCATACTGGGAGGGGGGAGCCATTGTTTAAAGGACACAGTGTGAAAACCTAAAGTGATGCTTCAGTCACATACATCTCTGTTAAAACTTTGTGTAGGAATTACACCTGAAGTACAAAACAGAGGGTATCACGCTGCTAGGAGCACTCAGCTGAGTGCAGACAGGGGCTAAAACCAAACAAAATCCTTATCTGATTTCTCTGCAGATTCACCCAGGCCTGAAAAGAGAGAAACCAAATGTCCCATCCCAGGATGTGATGGCACAGGGCACGTGACTGGGCTGTACCCTCACCACCGCAGTCTCTCAGGCTGTCCACATAAAGTTAGAGTGCCACTAGAAAGTGAGTATCGTCACCCTGTGGTCCAGAATAACAACTGGATCTGGCCCAGTATTGTGGGCAATGTGTGCTCATGCTTGAGAAGAAACCCACTTTTTCTGGATGAGATTGCAGAACGAGACAGAGAGGAGCCATCACACCTTCTTTGCCCTCCAGCTCTTGCAGTCCTACTTCCCACACTTGTGAAGCTCACGTACTCCCTAGAAGTAGCATTACAAACAGCATCAGGCTCCTCAGGTAGCCTGGGAAGAATAAAATCAGAGCCATACTATCCCCACCCTTCCAGCAGACCTGAACTCTGTAGTCTCATGAATCTTCAAGATGTTGCTTGCCCATGCCTTTGCTAAAGCATGCAGCACAGAAATCACCTGCTTGTTTCCGAGCTGCGACCTGATTTGCCATAATCACATACTGAGGCTGCTGGTTTTCATTGCCAATAACCAAGAGTCCTGGGCATGCTTATCCAGAGATGCTTCCAGTGTCCCCTTTACCACTGAGCTCAAAAGGTTACTTCCATCAGTGCATCCCAGCACTGGCCCACAGCACATCCCTCTCGTATGACTGTATCGTGCTAACCCTTTTATGCCCAGTCTAGCCTGAATTTCCCTGCTTATTTCTAACTGTGCTGAACTGATTACACTGGTTTGTGTGTGTGTGTAATCCTGAAATGTGATGCAATGAAATGCTGCATAATAAGCCAATACCTAATGTGAAACTGTTTGTTTAAACAACCTAGTTAGTCAGATTGTTTTTTTGTGGTGGCATGCATAACAACAAATTAAAAGGATACTTGCACTTTACTAATGTCCTGTTCCTAACTATACCTCTCCTTTTTTAAAATCTGGTACTAAACTGTGTTTATGGAAACATCTGCTGAGTTAAACAGGCTGCTGCATTTGGAAGGCCTTAGCAACATTAACTTTCTAAAAGCAAAACTTAACAGGTCCTCGTTAATTATCACACTTACACACTTACAATCAGATGTGTTCTGTTCTGCTGGCAAAAAAAAAAAAAAAAAAAAAAAAAATTGGTTTCTGACAGAATAAACCAGTTGACTGAAGAGTCAGCTTTTTTGAAGCACTCTGCACCCAAAAGGGTAATACAGTGCTGAAGTCATGAGGGCAGACATTCAAAGACATTGTTTAACACAGACATGTATCTCAGTCGTAGTAAAGATGATCTACGCCAAAGGTCCTAAGAAATGTACATGCAAGCGTTTGCAACCACTGTGGAGAGTGTAAGCCACTGCTTGGGAGCGTGACCAGTTGTCTAAAGTAGATCCAGCACAGCTCAGACGGTCAGAAGTCATCAGGGCTCAAAGGGGACACGCTTAGGTCAGATCATCTCACTCAGGTTCAAGGCATAAAACGTCTTCATATACCTGAGAGTTTGCCCTCCCTGAGACAGAGAGGGACTGCAGATGTATGTAGCACGACTGTGAGGCCCAGGGCTCCTCTACCACCCCCCTTCTCTAGTCGACTGTGTTAATGTTGTATGAACCAGAGGGCAAAGGGCGTTATGATGTAGCATCCTTGCTAACTTCCACCTTTGTTCTTTTAAAGTCGCTAGAAACAATGATGTGCATGTGGGAAGCCACACGACAGCAATACAGGGATAAACAGGTCTATGTCGGCAGCATCAGCCTTGCTGCATTGTAGGTCCTTTGCTTCTCCTTTCCTTTTGTGGTCAAAATGTGACAGAATTGAGAATCTGAGTCCGAATGTTCATATTCATATTAAGAAATGTCCAAATTATTCATATTAAGAAATGTTCATATTTCTTAATGTATGTATGTTTAATTGATGCATGTTATTATCACCTTTTCTTTTTTTTCTTATTCCTGTTTAGTTCTTGCCATGCATGAAAATGTTTTAAAGTGCCCCACCCCAGGATGCACCGGAAGAGGACATGTCAACAGCAATCGCAACACACACAGAAGGTAGATCAGAAATGCTCCTGTCCACTTAAAATCTAACATGTGCTCGGGAGAAAATTGATGGGCACATCTTGAAATTAGATAATATGTACTACGCTGCAGAATGCCTATGAACTGAAAGGGTAGCCTGTATTATTTATAACCAAATAATTGTGTTTAATATTATTACATAAAAAATGGCTGCAGCGCTGAGGATGGCAAATTCCACTAGTATTTTTCACAGATGAGATTTCAAACTACAGTTTCATTACAGCCTTGACAGTGAAACATCATCATGTAAAAGGGATAGAAATGAACAAATACATTACTGCTACAACTGGAAAACCCAGTGGAAACCAAAGCCTCTTAGTTTTGCACCACATACATGGTAGTCCTTGGCAGGAACTTCCCATCAAGGCACATTTTCTTTAATCAAAACAGAAAATTTTAAGTAGAATATTTTAGAATATGTAAAAAAAACTAACTGAATTTATTACCCTCGGGAATGTCATCTTCCCGCTTGGAACACTCCTGTCTAACTTACTGCCTGAAGGGAGAAAGTAAAGTTGAGTAAAGTCTTCCAGACAGGCAGCTGGGGAATCACAGCTGGGCTGCAGGTGAGGCAGAGAGCCGATGTGCTCCGTCTCCAGCAAGCCACTGCTGTTGGCATGGCTCTTATCTGTGCTACTTTCTGCTGGAAGCCAGAAAGCCAAAATATTCCATTATAGTGCCTCTGGAAAAATATAATGTCAATTTTACAAACAAACTTGGGACATAGAAATTTCAAAACCAACTTTCTTTGTTGAACTGAATTTTTGTGGGATTTTTTTTTTTTGCTGCTGACTGATTGATTAGTTATTGTATGAGCACACCAAAACCAAAGATTATCGTACTAGGCTAATATCTTTAATACAAAAATTTAGTCTTTACCAGAGAGATTACAAACTCTTCTACAGGAATATATAATGAGCCAGTAAATATTTTTTCACTGTGTTTCCTGTTTTAAATCCTCAGTCATCTTTGCAACACTTCAGCTGTATCATAAACAACCCATAAACAGGATAAGAAAACATGTTATAATCTAGGAAAGAAAATATATGCAAAAAAAAAAAAAAAAAGAAAGCACAACTTGAAATGACAAAATTTGTTATTTGGTAACAGTCACTCACATACCCCCTTTCTTTTTTCCCCAAATTTACTTTCCTTTTAATCAGCAGGAGGCTTATATTCATGGTTTAGCTGATAAAGTAAATGTCATTTGTCAAAAAATATACTAGTGACTTGCCAGCCACAAAACATCAAAGCTGAACTGTGGAAAACTCCTTCATGATTCAGTTTCCAGATATATCACCTCAAATACACAGATTTCACAGTTTTGCATTAAGGACTGAAAAACAGATTGCATCTGGGCTATAATACCAGCAGCTCCCATAGATGCATGGGGCACCAGAGAAGTCTGAAGTCATTGGGTACCACAGCACGCATTTCCTTTACTTAAGATTTCATTTTAATGTGTTTTTTTATTTCTTATTTCTTCTCTTCACCTTACTTTTAAACAGCCTTTCTGGTTGTCCAATTGCTGCAGCTGAGAAGTTGGCAATGTCCCAGGAGAAGAACCAGCTCGAGTCTCCAAAAGCTGGGCAGTGCCACGATCAGGCTCACAGGTAGGAGCCGTCACAAACTAGTCTTTCCAAAGTATTACTGCACAAGCTCTGTTGATCAGTCCTCAGATCTTTCCCCCATTTCAGATTTCAGCTACAGGGATAATTCTGTTTTCCAAGATGAACCTCTGCAAAGCTAAAACTTGACCGCATCTCAAAATTAACTAGCAGCTTTCTGCTCATTCTTGTGCATGTAGCTGGCATTAAAGACAACAGACATATCTTTTGAAAAGCAATGAAATACATTCTACTAAATCTTACTTCAACACAAATAGACTAATCAGTGGTTCTCAAATGTCTTTCTCCTGTAAACCAAATCTCCTATCTCGCTGAAGTGTTTTAAACAATTGTCAAGAACTGTTCCTTTGTTGCAATATTTTAGCCACTGAAACTTGACTAAAGATCTCTTTGACCTTATTACACTTTTAGCAGCTTGGTCCTCATTTATTTTGTGATTATTTTCAGAGGAATCTTCCAGTGATCCAGTAAGTAACATGTCATCTGAAAGGGTTGAGAATGCTGCTCGTTCTGTTTCCCCACCATTGAATAATTCATATTTTGAGTTTCTTTAAGTTTATTGGTTTAATTAGTTTAATTTATTTTTTTGTACAATGGCATCAAAAAAGGGAAACATTTTTTATTGCAATTGTATTTTGTTTGAGAGTTATATGGACCCTACAGACATGCATAATTTGCACATCATTGGCACCACGACCATTACAACCTATTATATTCAGGTCTATTTGGGGACACTTTAATTTGTGGATTATTGACATGATCAGCTCTAATGGTTCCTTCAGAGCCATTACAGAATATTATGTCCATGTGTCTGCCAACTGCACGTGCCTTAACTCTACATATGAAAAGTCCTTAGGAAATTACTAAAGACAAGTAGTTACTGAACAGTAACTAAATGGAATAACACACCATAAATCATTCGTTCCTCCCAAATAACAGAGGCAATTAGTTTGGATCATCTTATATTATATTTATACCATACTCATTCACAGTAAAGTGAGAACAATAGTGATCCATAAAACAACAAGTCCTTTGACTAACAAAAATCCAGACAGTTTTTAGAAATAAAGGAAGCATGATGCTACAGTGGTAATCTAGAATTAAGCCATTATCTTTCTTGTAAATAGCCCACACTGTTACTAGAGAACACTAGATTTTTTTTATGTCCTCAGCTTTGAACTTTTATGAAGTCAAAGTACTCTTTGGCTACTAGGTCAGCCACCATATTTATGTTATTTATTTCCTGCATACTGCTACCAGTAAGTTTTACGTGATAACAACACACTTTCTGACACTGAGATGCAACTGTATCCTAATTTTCCAAGAAAAGGTTATTTAAAGTTTTTCTTGTCTTTCTCATTCACTCTTTTCCTCCTCTCTGCAGGACAAATTTAGCAAAACAGCCTGAGGTCTCTCAGTACAATTACAGAACTTCACAGCCAGTCACCTCCTCCAGAGCCACCCTGGCAAAAGAACAGGAGAAGTTTGGGAAAGTACCATTTGATTATGCCAGCTTTGATGCACAAGTCTTTGGCAAACGCACAACAGCACCAGTGGCACAAGGACGAAAAACACCCCAGTTCCTTGAATGTAAGCTTGAAATGCCATTATCCCTTGGAAAATGGGCAAAATGTCAATGACTTTTTTTTTTTTTTTCTTTAGCTTTTGCTTCTGCTTTCAGACTCCTAAAATTCAAAAATTCTCTGTAGGAAGCATCTTTACTTACTTTTGGCCAGAATGCTAAATATTATCAGTAGTTTGCTAAATATTGAATGCCAAAATGCTAAATATCATCACTATAAGGTTTATTTTTTTGATATTTCTTTTAAAAGCAATTATCAGGGGAAAAGAGGAGGAAAAATGAATGGTTTATTTCTTATCTGTACCTCCTTCCTTGGTTAAATTGTGATATCTTTATGTGATAGGATGCTGTCATGAGAAGTTCCATGGAATGTGCCTGCACAAGATGTAATGAATTATAGTACAGAGAAATCCAGGTTAGGTATTAAAGGCATTTCAGATACCTTTTTGATGCATCCATACAGGTATTATTCCTCCTAAATGACCATGTGCCTCTGTTGCATTACTTCCAGGCCTGGATTGAATTTGTTTTGATATCTCATATTTCTGTACTACATCATATTTGTAGTGCAGACATATCCAATGCATCAAATTGTTATCAAGATTCCTCTGCTTGCATCACTTACGGATTTGCTGAGTTACTACTTTGTACAAATGAGATACCACAGTGCGAACACTGATTATTTTTTGCAGATGCTCTTCACAATCTGCATGGGGAAACTTCTGCAAGATTCTGCCATTGTATTCACTGTTATAAAATACTCTTTAGTTCAAAGAAACTAACTATTCTGTTGCCGTGAGGGAAATGGAAAAAAAAGGTTTCATTGTGCCGTATTTGGTTTCAGAAGAAAATAGATCCAGAACAATGTGACAAAGACTCTTTAGTTGGTTCTTATTTTGTTCATGAAAAAAGATTTAGTAAAGGAAAACAGATTGCATCCTGCTTATCCCAACAAAGGAGAATATTCAAAGTAAGGTGAACAGAAAAGCAGAAAATTTTATATATGTATATATACATATATAATATAATGGAATAATTAAATATACGTCTAATACTATATAATATTATATATGTTTTATATATTTATAAAATTTGTATGTTTATATATATTTTTTGTCTATGTGTCTGAGTACACACACACACACACACACACACACACACACACACACATATATGTTTTTGTAGGTATCTATGTCTTTGTGAATATATATAAATACCCTACTTAAAATTGCAAATGAAAAGTAGATATTTATCTGGCCTGGAAAATAGACTTGTTCAAATGAAAGCAAATATGTGTATTGCCAGCTTCTTGGGTGGCAGATTTTCCAATTTTGTTTGTAAAATTGAATATTCCCTATTAGCTGTCTCTTTGCACAGATGTATGTCTATTTCACAGGTTCATTTCAAGGAAAATATGATTGAAATGTTTTTATACAAATGCAAATACATACATATGCAATTTATGTATAATGTATATCAGGGCTGAAGTTTACAGCCGGTTGTTCTTGCAAAGATTGCAGTGTGCAGCTATTATTTTAATGGAAAGGTGAAAGTAAAATAGCAGGTGAGTGCTTTAACTGTGCAGACATACAAAAGTTGGCAATAAGAAGCTGATGGTGTAGTGATTGGTTCAGCGTCCTATGTAAATCTGTAGCTAGCCAAAAGCCCATCATTAGCCCTCTGTGGATTCCGCACTTATAAATTTATTTGTTAACAAAGCATGCACCCTTCATATCCTGCTTTTTTTTTTTTTTTTTTTTTTTTTTTTAAGTTTTTTAGGGTGGGTAATGGAAAATGCACTTTTTTTGCTCTTTAAATATAATTTGAAGTTATCTGTAGTAACTGCTAAAAATGTAGACCCTCTTGCTTGTGCTCCAGTTTTACAGCAGGGTAGATAAATTCTTTTAATGAAAAAGACTGGAGAAAGGGAGAACTGAATCATGAAGGTTTATGTATTGCTCTGCTGAGATGCCTCCTGTACTTAGAAAAACTGAATATAGTATTCAGCTGCAGTCAGTGCACACAAACAATCATTTCTCTTAGAGCATCCCAAGTTTGAGGAAAGATGAGTTCTTCAATGTCTTAGTGTAGGTCTCAGCATTAAAATGCAGTTGGTCAAAGCTCTATATGCAAAGGGACCCAGAGCCCTGGGGCTCAGGACTTTATGGAGCGAACAGATGGCCATACACAGAAATGTTCTTGGTGTGTCTGGGTGTAGGCTGAGAAATTGGATTTTGCTTAGTTTATCTTTGTAGGACACTGTGAGAGCTACAGACAAAAAAAGTGATTATTGCTTGCTAAGAACTGATATCATGGTGCTGTGCTTTCCCTGAAACTGTTAATGACATCTTGAGCTCCAAAATCCAAAAGAGAGAGCAGAGTTCTTTCTACCTGTTTTAGAGTAAGTGCTGCTGATGGAGCAGAAAATGAAGAACCACACACACCACTTTTGTCTGTGAAAGTGCTTTTCTGTTCACCTGTTAGTATTTCATTCTCAACTGACCCCTTTGTACCTAATAAATCTATGTATTATTCCAAATGATAGCCAATACAGGGCAGTGAGCCAAGATCAGTTTTATTCTGAATGTTCATGATTATCATTATTTTTCTTTTAATTGTTTAAAGAGTAGATTTAGATTTCTAAAAATTTCCACAGAATCAGGACTGAATATTCCTAACAGGTAATGTTCTTATCTGATTGCTCCAGTTCATTCAAGAGCCTGGCCTTTTTCTCTTTACTCACATAAGCAAAGCTGTTTAAATAACAGACTTAAGTAGGGTAAGCAGTGTTGTTTTAGCTAAGACTGGACAAGTTACTGTTGTTTTTTAACAAAAGAGAGCTCCAAGAAGAAGCCTTTATAAGGACACATTTACAATTGTATTTATCCACCAGTGTTGTCAGGTCACAATGAATAACACGCTAATGCTTGTTCAGTCTTTCCTTGGACATCATTGCTTTTAATGCCTGAGTAAAGAATGAGTCAAATCTGAGTAAAAGTCTCAGATGCTTTGTTGAAAGATGTGTATTTGTCAGGTAGAAGTTAAATTAATGTGTTTCTGAAGCTATTTTTACAGCAAATCCTTATTGCCAATAGGAAATGGATTGTTTTATATGTATTCTTTGAATATTTTAATGTATGGAATTGTAGTCTGAGAAACAAAACTATTTAATGGGAAAAATCTCATACGTGCAATTGCTAATCAAATCTCTCTTCAACAGCAAAGCATTTTTCAAATCCAGTGAAATTTTCTAATCGACTGCCTAGTGCTAGCGCCCACACACAGAGCCCTTGCCATGCCAACTCTTATAGCTACGGTCAATGTAGTGAAGACACCCACATAGCAGCAGCTGCTGCTATCCTGAACCTTTCCACCCGCTGCAGGGAAGCAGCAGAGATCCTCTCCAACAAACCACAGAGTCTGTCTGCCAAGGTAGGGTAGTCCAAGAACCTGGAGGGTGTGCTAGCTACTGAACTGTGCGAATAAACTGTCTTTCATGTTAGTGACTGCATTAAATCCCCAAAAAGGAGGCTTCTGTTTGCATGCTCTTTTGAAGAGAGACAGAGAAAAAAATCAGTAACGCAGTGACCAGTTCTGGTCATAGAAATAGCAGGAATTATGTTGTTAACTCTTTTCGTAATTGCGCCTTAAATACAAAGGGGGAGTTTTGTGAAAGGAAAAAAGAAGGTTATGTGAAATCCAGCAACAATCTGTGATAGATAATTAGTTAGATCTGTTTAAAGCAGAAAATTTCCTCCCTCTGAAACCTGCCATAAGTGATCATTTGGAGACTGATTGAAAAAAAAAAATATTAATCAAGGTGATATTTTGCTAGCAATGGAACAGAACTACACCTATTGAGTCTGTTGTGTTTGGAGCTCATGAGTTTGACAAGGTGCAGGGAGGGAAATAACAATTGGCTTTGGTAAAATTCTCCTTTCAGCTGGCAAGAGAGGAGAATCAGGCCCTCAGCGTTTGGAGATAGATAATTTGGGCAAGTCTGTCATAATGGAAAGCTGCCTAATATCATAGATGCTTGTGTGGCTTTCATGTTTTGGTTTCTGCTCTGCGTTTCCTCACAGATCTTTATGATTTACAAATGGTACTGTGTGAGCTATGAGCCTTATTTTCTGTGTCATTACATAGTATTATACTGCTGATGAAAATAGACAAGATTTTCTTCTGATGACTGTGGTTGTGGGAGCACTGTTGTTTATTATTTGTATTAAAGTCACACATGTTCCACTGCAATAAAACTTTTGAAAGGTCTGGGTAGATGAGAGGGTGCCATTACAAGAACTTGAGAAGAAATCACTGGGGAGTGAAAAGAGGTACTTATCAAAATACAGAGTAGCTGATGTGTTTCTGCTCTGGGACTCTGAGTCATGATGTCTGTTACAAAACAAAAATGACCTATTTCTCTGCAAGTCAGTGTCACTCGACCTCATCTATTTTAGTGTCAGGCTCAAGCTGACTAGAGGTCGCTTTCACAGCGTTTGGTCTACAATTTGGTTGGGCCTTCATTCACCATTATTAAGAGGTTAACTAGCATTCTTTGAGTAGAACCATTAATTTTACTACCAGCACAACGCCTGGTTAGGTATTCCAAGCCTTGTGTCTTTGCAGAGTGGTATCAACTACTTTGCTGCCTTTGATTTCTACTTGTGAAGTCTTGGATCTTGACATTGATGTTGGGAGATGCCACAGGATAGACTTTTTAGAGTGTGTCCACATGCATCCCCTCTAACTCAGACATTATCTACCCCAAAGATTGGTCACAAAACCCTTCAGAGATGACAAATCCATCCCTGATATCTGCTGCAGAAAGCTCCTTCCACCAGTCTTCAATAGAGTCTTCTTCTAGCAGGGAAATAGAAACTGATGCCAATGGCTGGATGAGATTGCTGCCACAGCCTTTGGCTGACCTCAGCAATAGACCTTCTTGCCAGAGAAGAGCAGTAAAGGGACCAGGCATAACCCCAAGATTTTCTCCTCCGTACCTGCTTCACAGTTGCCAAATCGTGGGGAAGGTTTGAATGGAAGTGAACATAACAGTAACGATATGGAAGGACACTTGGGGCACATAGCTTACTCCTTTTTCACAGCCAGGAATCCAGCCTTAAAAAAAATCACCTGCATACCTTGCTATCTGTCTGCCTCCACTTTTGCCAGACTTTCTGGAGGGCATACTGCTACAAAACATCTGACAGAAGAATCAGAATTAGCTTCTGGCCAGAACACAGGCAAGTAAGCCCCAAACAGATTTGGTGGCCAAAACCACACTAAACCCACTTTTATTTGGTTTCAGCTATTTATTGCTTTTATCAAACAGGATTCAAACAAAAAATTGTGGAAATAAATAACCAGACTCTCTTCAGTGACAATGCTTTCCTATTTTAAAATAAGAAGCAAAAAAGATAAAGTTATTTTTAAAGAGACTACTCTCTATTTATCATTGTTTCTGAATTGTTTTGTGTCTGGTATTAGCTGCAAAGGTAAATGTTTAGCTGCCAGAATATCTTACAATTTTTTAGATGATAAAAAACATGTCTTGAGACTTTATCAGTGTTTGGACTCAAATAATGCAGTATCAACAGACAACTACAGAATTAATGGTTTCCTTTCTCTAGTTTTGATAGCACACACATTCACCAGGCCTGAAAATACCTGTGTGGGGTGACTGTGTTCAGAGCCCCATAATATCAGAGCTCTCAGCCCTGTCCCTTGACACATTCCTTTGTTCCTCTGCCTAAGAAAACCCGGTTGGCATTGTCCATACTTTAGCAGTTCAAAGTTCCTGACCTGTAAAGGTGTTTGCTCTTATTTGAGCACCAGGCAGCATCTCAGCAATCCAAGCCATGACTTTTTGCAAGTGGGAGGTGGCACTTTGCAGGTGGGAGGCAGTGTGGTAGTAGAGCAAGGACATGTAGGACTGCAGAGGTTTTTCTGGAGTTGCAGGAAATCCTTTGCAAGTTACACGATTGTCAGAGATGTAAAAATGTTGTGCTTCTATGTTTTAGATCTTGAAATTCAAACATTTCAAGCAAGTGGCATTTTCTTGTATTTGCTCAAGGCATGCATATGTCACCTTGCTTAAACAGGTTGGGAAAACACCAAAACTTTTTTTAGCACAAATGTATTCCCAAAGTAATTTTTTTTTTTCTTTCTGTCTCTCAGATTTTATTTCTCGACCTCCAGAGTGTTTTCCATTTTTTAGTAAGGATTGGATGTTTTACCCTGAATGTTCACCACTTCTCTGTGAATATAGTTAACATTTAAATAAAAAGTAAATATTTTTTACAGCATAGCTCCAGGTTTCATTAATTTAATGGATTTTCAAATATATGTCTTACATTCTCTACATATTAGTCCAAAAGAAAGAGTCTAAGCTGAGAGAGAAGGGTAACAAGGGTAGAGAAATGATTACACATTAACAGTATCATTAGTAAGCAAAATTTCCAAAGAGATCTCATGTACAAAGGTGATCTGACAAATATCTCAAAATTAAAATTATGAATTTATAAGTTAAGCAATTTAAAGGATAAATTTATTCTAAAATGAGCAGTAAAATGGATCCTATACTTTCTCTGTGAATTATCTATCAGCTGCATACAGAATGCTAACACCATCAGATACCTTAATGATAAATTAATATCACATTAATGTTACATTTTCTGAGCCATTCAACCTCCACCCGGGACTGTAGTAAACCGTTCCCCTGAATACAATCCTTATCAACCAGTTCTCATTCAGTCAATACCCCAAACCAGTCTCCTGGTTGCATTTGATTTGCAGTTTATGTAGCTTCATTCAACTCCCATTGAAGTCAAAAGGATTCCCCTAGAAGGATTAGCCTGCAGTTTTTAGCACAGTGCAAGAGCCTACATCATCATAACATCCAGGGATCTTCCCTGTTCACAGCCCTCACCACATTCACGTCTCTCAGAGGTAGCTGCAAGCAATACAATTTATCTGTATCCTCATCACTACTGCTTGCCAAACATTTTGTTGACTGTTTTGGTGGTTTTCCCACCTGTTTAGACAAAATGGCATATGCACACTGTGCCTTAAAAGAAAACAAAAAATGACACTTGCTAAAAACGTTTAAAGTTCAAATTCTGTTTTTGAACAAAATTATGTCATTTCTCCATTCTTGGATATTGATGATGGTGATAATTACATCAATTATTTCAACAATGTAGTTAGTACTCAGCACGTTTGTCAGGCAGTCCTTTACTCCAAATACCTTAAAGGCTAAATACAGGTTGAACAATCAGCCAAGAATATCACTAGGTACCATCCTGTTATACTGCTGTGCATATTGCTCCTTGAGTACATTCTTGGCTAGATTTTTTTAATTTGTGAATTGCTCTGGACTGAAATTGTGAGTCCATTTTTGTCTCAGAAGATGCTGGGCAGTTACAGGTTTTCTTATTTTAACCCAAATTAGTATTTTAGTTTGCTAAAGAAGAACACAATTGCTTAAATTTAAGTCTGAAGAATTGAGGAACAGGTTCACATATTTTTGTTGGCTGGGAATAGAAAAGATTGTACTCTTTTCGGATGGACCTGCATTAAGAATAGTGTTCATACATATAGTAAGATACTAGTTTCAGAGTTACTCCCAAAACCAGAACTGAATAACTCTTCTGAGTTTTCCAAACTAGACTGAACTGCTAGTGGAATGCAAAATCATTGATAATGTTGTTTCCTTGGACTTAGTTAGTATTAAGTTGTATGGCTGATGCCAACCAAAGTATACATAAAGCCCCTTACGTGTAATGATGCAATCTCCCTAAGGTCACAGGTTTGAAATAAGATTCATGCAGACACAGTAATTCGCTCTTTCTGATCCAGCTATGAGATAAAGCTTAACTTGTAATCGTTACTGGAGACACACTGCAGAGAATTAAATGTGAGTGATCGGATGGACCAAAAGCATATGAAAAAATGAAGGAGTAACTTGTCACAAAAATCATCCTTTATTGTCCTAGATGATGTAGTTCAGTTCTAAGGACAAGACTTAATAACGTACTAGAAAATATTCTGTAATAAGTATGTCATACAATAAAGGAGGCTGAAAAAGCTTGACTTTAAAGTACAAAGCACTTGAAGAGGATAGAGACCATTTTTTTGTTTACATATTCATATTAGTCTTCATTTTAGGTAGATATTCATAGTAGAGTACTATTTGTACCTTATCTTTTCACTGAATAGATGCTGGAATAAAGAAAATATGCTTCAGTCATTTTTCTCTCATTTTTTATTCTGGAATCCTTTTTCCAGCTGCTTGTAAAACCTGTGGGGGTGATTACACTGTCACTGATGTGGGAGTAGATAAGGAGTAACCTGAATTTAATTACCATGTGTATCCTCTCACCCTCATTGATTTTTCTTCATGGCTTCAGTGGACTTTTTCCTGGTTTACACCAGTGTAAATGTAAATGTAAGTGAGATCAAAATCAGGGTCCAAAGATTTACACAGCTGCAAACTAATACAAGGTAGGAAATAAGATATATTTGCATCTTTATTGTGCCTATGTTTTCAATGAAGAATCAGAACAGTTTACATTGTTTTGGTAGCTATATTTTAAAGATGTCATGATAAATGGATAAATATAGGCCTGTTCACATATGCACTAAAGTTGACAGTAATAAGATCTTGACTTCACTGAGGAGAACACAGTCTTTAGAAGTCTGAGCTAAGCATAGTAAGTGTCATTTTCTGTCAGCGTGTCATAGCACTGCTCTAGCATTTTTTTTGCCATTTGCCATTTTTGTCTTTTTAGTTCCATTTTAAAATTAATGCAAAAATAAATGTGGTAAAACAAGCAAAGGAGACATATTGAGAGGAGGGTGGGATGAGAGTAGGAATGAAAACTGGAGCAGTATCTCTGACTATCCTCTCTTTTGCTCTGCCATTTGGGGTTTGCTATGAAGGCAGCAAAGTGATAGCTCTTTTATACCATTCTGAATAAAAAGCCATGCTGTAAACGTGTGATCCATCCCATGATGGGAAAAAGGGGATATTTTTTCCATGACTATATTTAATTGTTTTGTGCATCTGTGAGCTCACTTAAACCCCATCTGTACGCTACTTCACAGACACACAGCCCAGCCTTCCCGGAGCAGAATTAGGTGCATGTTGGACAACCCAACTTCTACGTGAATTTCAGGAAAGTGCTGAGGAAGCTTTAAATGTCCATGTTCGTAATGTTCTGCTTATCAGCAAGAGCTCCTTGTTGTGGCTAATGGTATCTGGTTCTCAGAGACAATACATTTCCTGGTGTTTTTCTATGTACAGTTTCATTGAGGAGGAGAGCTTGATTGATTTTGGTCCTTTTTGTTGTTGCTGTTGCCTTCTGAGTAGTTGATATTTTGTCAGTGACAGAGAATCTGCACTATTTATGGGTTTTGCACTATAAAACTACTGCAGCCCAGTCACATGGCTTCCTTTCCTAAGCCATCTGTCACAGAGGTCTGGAATTTTATGTGAATGTTGGTTGTGCAGACTTAACCCAAGTTTTTTTATTATGAAAAATGTCAGCAACTACAATATTTAGCATTTTACTTTACATTGGTCATTAAACTTGATTACTGTAGCTCTGTTTCATTGCTATAGTTACATATCAACTATGAAGCCAAAAAACACTGGGGCGATCATGGCAGAGCTATATTGTCAGATCCTGGAGTGTGCGCTTGGCACTGATATAGTTAATATCTTGGATTTTTGTAACTAAGGTTTATTAATGCTGGTATAAAAATGTATTTGATATTATACAGATGGCATAAGATGCTGTGGTTACTAAGTTATTATCCAGGATAAGCTGCACTGTCAAATTCAGGGCTTAAAACTATCACAGGAGATTAAACTATTTACTAAAAAGGGGCAGAAAGATATAACCAAAGCGTCTTAGTATGAACATATTAGAAGTGTATTTACTTCCCATAAATATAATAAAACATCTCTCTCTTTAAGCTGTATGATTGAAAATGTGAACTTTGCTATGCAGGAGAAGCAAATATAAGAGGTGCCTGAGTTTCTGAACTGGGGGCAAGCAGATGGCTTGTCTAGGCAGGCATCTGTCTTGGGCCTATGGATACAAAATGGAGTCAGGCTGTCTGAGTGAGGAGAGATTGTTGAGCCTGAAATTTTCGTCTTCTACCAACACTTTCCTTCTGATCAAAAAGATTTCACCAGACATATTTTACCTTAAATGAGTCACCACTGGCAGTGGTAGAAGACAAGGCTGCATGAAGGAAGCTTGTTCCTACAGTCCAACCAGGGTGGCCATGTCACACTTGCAGCACAGGAAAAGAATTCCCTGTTTCACCACAATTATTTTTAAGATGTTCCACCAAGGATAAGTTTCACTGCCCTAGGTTTAACCATTATATGGTTGACTAATCATCAAGCTCCAGCAATAGTTAATGGGAAGAAAGAGAAAGGGATTTTTATTTCAGCGTCTCATCTCCTCCTAAGGAAGAGGTCTAAGAAAGATGGAAAAGCTTGCCCCCTAGACATAATTGTCTCTTTCTCATTTGCAACAGAGAGTATAGGTGGTTCACTTACACTACAGGTTTACTTTTATAATATTCAAGGTAGGAAGTTTCAATCTGTGTTTATATGACTGTCTCTGACAGTTATAGAACATCTAACATACCTAGCGCCAAATTCCCAAGTAGTATTTGAGCTTTGTGGTGATGCAAATGAAAAATAGTAGTGATGACAATAACAGGAAGACACAAAGCAGCTTTAGTTACAACATTCTACATGTGTACATCTATGATGTTGTTATTTACAGTCTTTGAATGTTTTCCACCTTATTCAGGGCAACACACAGTACTAGACTATCAAGTGCTCCTCCAGAAGCCACCTCTTTTACCTCTTCCCCTACTTGACTTTAGTAAATTGTTGGCAATAACAAGGATTAGTCTTATACTTCTCGCTATATACACAATATGTCAATATTCAGTGTTGCCTATTGAGCATGAGGGGAAATTTTTTGTTGTTTCCATCAGTAAGTTGTACTTACAGAAGCTTTCTGTCATTCCTAGGAGAGGAGTTTGTACTCTTTTTATGTGGTCTGACAGGGTAAGGCAGAACAGTGAGTTTTCCTTCCCTTGTTCTTCTGGTACAGCTGAGCAGCCCTTGCCCCTTCTTGTGAGCAGGAGCTGCTCTGAGATCTTCTCCCAGTGTGGAAAGAGATGTTCAGTCTCTCCCCAAACTGCACACGTCTGCAATCATAGGCTGCTCTTTGTTGTACTTCCTAGGTGGCGAAGGCTTTGTTAACTCATGATGAAGGTCTCCATCAGGGAGAACCTCCTAAAGATCCTCCTGTGGCTCCCAGTCTAGTGGTCTCAGTGCAGATCTGTGCCTTAGTGGCCTAGTCAAACTGTGATTAAGGTCATACGTTGAATGATGTACGCAACCCTAGTGAAAATTTCTCCTACTGTGTTACTTCTGGGCATGTTTCTTCCCCCCTCCTTCTCTCCCCCATGATGCAGATGTTTTAATATTTCTGGGGTGGGAGGGGAAGGGAGGATATGTAATAGTAATGCTGTTGATGACCTAAACAATGCATTAATGCTTTTAACTGTGAATTGGGGTCATAGTTCTCTGTAAGAGTGAAAATATCAAGAAGATTTAAAGCTAAACTTTTTAAAAATAAAACTAGATTTAGGATGTATGGGTTATGGTTTAGAGACATCTTATTTAAATTCTACTTATTATGTTTAAGCTGAGATGCAGGGATACCATTACTGAAGCTACTCTTAAGTCTGCCTAAGAGTTGGACATTAAGTGATATAAATCGAAAAGCTGGGTTTAGATTCAGATAAATTTAAATAAAAGCGTGAATTTATATTTATCCTTTAAAAGCACCACATGGTTATGCTGCAGCCTCACCATGTCCATACCTAAACATGTCTCTGTTTCTTGTTGCATGTCAGGGAGCTGAGATAGAAGTGGATGAAAATGGCACTCTGGATTTGAGTATGAAAAAGAATCGAAGCCAAGACAAAGTTATGCCTCTCACTTCTTCCAGCACAGCACTTCCTACTCCTTCCTCTTCTCCTTTCAAAACAAGCAGCATCCTGGTAAATGCAGCCTTCTACCAGGCTCTTTGTGAACAGGAAGGCTGGGATACACCAATCAACTACAGCAAGACCCATGGCAGGAAAGAAGAAGAAAAAGAGGTATTTTTTCAGTTTCTGAGTGACTTTTTCCCTTCGATGAGCAGCCATCTGATGTCTTTTTGGATGGCCAATCTAGTCCCATTTAAATGGAATCAGTTTCCACAGGCAGAGATTTGTGAACGTTGAACTGGCTTTAATGCCCTCTCAGATGTGGCAGTAAAAAAACACTACTCACTTTGAAAAATCTTGTTCTCAGAACCTACTTGTGAATGCCTATAGCTCTCTACAATAAGGAAATCAAAGGTATCCACCATTAGAGACTGCTTTTTAAATTTTGCTCCTTATGGCTCTGTCCTGTAGCACATACACCCAAATGACCTAGGGATCACTCGGAATAAAAACAAAAAACAAAACAAACTAGGTTTTTTCATGCTGAAACAGAAAGTAATTTTTCCACACCAACTCTTTGTAATTCTAGAGAACTTATTTATCTTTATTTCTTTAACTTTATTTCTGAAGCAGAAATGAAAAATGTCCCAATTTGGAATTTTTATTCAGCTTCAAATACGTTTCCTCCTTATTTGGTTTTATATATCAAATAACATTTGAACATTATATTTTTATTAAATTATCTTTTGTTCAGATATCAAAATTGGCACTTCAAGAAGACATAGGTAGGTGCAAATCTACTTAGGGCTGAGGTTAGAAGATTCAGGCCTCCATTTCCAAAAAAAAATGGAAATAAAAGATAATTCAGTCATGTGAAGAAAAAAAATCTGCCAGCACTGAGTAGAGATCTGTCATAATTAAACCACTGAGACAGTTTGCATCACAGTGGATCATTTCTTGGAGACCGGGTTGTCTTGAGGAACACTTTGCATTCACTCCTGTGGGGCTGATGACGCTCCTGACCTGAGCAATGAGAGCACGATCCCTGTATCAGAGTTTTGGGGTGGGTTTGATGCAAGGTGGTAGGCTGAGGGCTCAGTCTCTTCCCCATTCATGCCGCATAATGAGCAAGCACATCCAGCTTTGAGAGAACCGCCTTGCTGCAGGGGATCAATCGGTGTCGCAGACTTGGCAGGGGGCCTGTCCTGCTGCTCCTCCTCCCTGCTGCTACCGCAGCTCAGCAAGAGCTATGGCCGGAGCACCTCCGCGTCCCCCGCAATCTCTGCTCGGCTTTCGGGAGGCCGTGACGGGTGGCTGGCTATTTCCCGCTCCCCCTTACCAGCACAGGGAGCTGGAAGCATCATCAGCCTACACGACAGGACATAAAGGGCTGTGCTCAGGCATTCTTGCCCCTTGCACTTGGTGTTTTGACACTGTGCAGTTTGTCCCTAACCAAGAATCTGGACCCAGACCTCTGCTGTGAGCTTTTGCGATCCCAGGGAGCCTTGACATGTCCAGAGATCCCAGGGCCAGAGGCTCTGTTTTGCAAATCGAAGACTGGCAGTTATCCTCATGCAAAGAAAATGACTGATTATATCTATTTCTAATTCATTGTTATCTGGTTCATATGCACAACAGTTGCTTAATTTTGGTAGTAATTTCCAGAAAATATTGTCTCTCTCTCTCTCAGCAAAATAGCCTGTCCAGATGCCCCCTTAAAAAAAAAAAAATCTGAATTTGGAAAAAGCTCAAAATCTCTCCAAAAGGAAAGCGCCGAGAAATAACTAGAGCTGTCAGTTAGTTCAACTGTCAGTTCTCCAAAGATTTCAGGGCTTAAAAATGTTAAAAGTGCCAGATGCTATTATCTGTTATTCATGTTACCATTATGTTCTGGTCTTTGCTGAAATCAATATAAACTTCCATCTGTACATTAATGGAGTTTCATTGCTTGCTTTCTTTCTGTAGTGTGCATGCGTGAATACACACATGCTCTTTGCAGAAAATATTAGTGTTTGGTCTGATTGGGCTGGTTCTGATTTCCCTTTTTGCTTGGAATTCTTCATAATTTTAATGGCATTTAGTTATAAGTACATTCAAATGGGAAAGGCTAAATTATACATATAGTTGGGCTTGACAGGCTGTGATGATTATCACCTGACAGACTAAAAAGTGGGAAGTTCTAAAGGTGTTTTCCCAAAGGATTACCTTTCCCTCTAAAGCCAAATCTCTGGAGAAGCACGTAAGCCAAGGCACGATGCCAGTCCCAAGTGTGGAGGACCAAAAAATATTTGGTCTTTAGGTCCGACCTACTTGTCTCAGACAGACGCAGCCTCTCTTGGGTCACATGTACTGATGTAGGGACCTAGAAAAGCAGAGTTCTGGTATTCTTTTGCCTGTATTCCCTTTGCACTGTCTTCCTTTTGTGGCTCCTACCCATCTAAAGATTTCATGATGCTTGAATAACATCAAATGGTCAACAAGGTGCTAAGACAATGATGAAGAAATCACCTGTTCAAATGTCTATATGTCTCCCTCATTGCTTGGAAATATATTAAGGGATGTTAACTAGGAAAAAAACTTTATTCCCACTTTGGTCTTTATTATTTTTTTTCTTTTTCAAAAGAGCAGTTACTAGGAAATTGTAGGTGTTTGTGTATGTATGTGTGTGTGTACCTATTGGTTTAAAAAAAGCACAAATCTTAATAAATTTGTTAAGGAAATTCCCAATTAAGATCTATAAGATTTACTTTTTCAAAGATGAAGATGAAAATAACTGCAATTCTGAACCCTCTAGTATCGATTATGCTGGTGGCTGCAGATGTACTTATGCCAACCTTCATCTTGCAATCTTATTTTTGTTAAATGATTCAGTGAAACATCATTAAATGAAGCTGTGAACTGTAATACTGTAGTATTTTGTCAAGCCTTGATATAGGTAGTTCTTGATCAGTCCTCTCTGTGCAGCAGGTATCAGACAGTGACAGGACTAATAACTCACACACACAAGTTTCTGGTCCATCCCCAGCAGAAGATCAAAAGAGATCTTTCATATAAATAAAGAACACAAGCTATATCTATGAAAATGTTAATGAACCCTGCATCACAAACAGTTACAACTGCTCTTGTTTGCTGCACGTGCATCCTGAGGTATATCACGCAGCTCAGGATTGCAGTGGAGTGCCAGGGTGGCCTTTCTACCACCCTCTACTCCAGGCTCCTCTCAGTTGGGCCTTTGACAAGAAGAGGAAGAGGTTGATGTGTGCCTGCTCTTGATACATAGTTAGGATCCAGACAAGACAGTCATTAAATTATTAGAAACATAGCATTGGCCCTCAGTTCAGTGATACAGGTTACCAACTACCAGAGTTAGTTGATAGAGAGAAAACTGATAAGCCAGTCTTATTCAACCTTCATTACATCAGGTGGAAACCACTTTACATGCGTTGTTTGAAATTATTTTGACATCCGACCCCTTCCAGATTTTGATTTTCCAGTGACTTACACAGGTGATGATCCCTGAACAGAGAGGGTCAGGAACTCGAATCTCCGTTCTGCAGATTGCAGTGGCAAAAACACCCCCATGTGCCACTGGAACCAGGATTTAACTCAGTGTTGGAAAACAGTCTTTGAGGTTTCTTGAATCTTGAACAAAGTTGGCATTCATTTTTCCACTTGTTTTTTAGCATTTTAGTTTCCATGTTTAGAGGACTTTCAACTATTATTTCTGTATTAACATTTTTAAAAAACCTAGTATTGTCTTTAATTTTCCCTATTGCTCCCTATCTGAAGCTTTCTTTTAGAAATAAAATTCTAAAAGCCTGAAGTATATCAGCAGGTTTTTTTATTATTATTATTATTTAAATTAATTAATTGATAATTACTATGAAAGCATTTAGAAAAGCTGAATATATGTATTTTTGCTTTCTATATTTGTAGCAGATGAGATTATTCCCAAACAAACTAACCCCACAAATGTGGTTGCAAAAATCAGTAGTAATTGATATAGTAATAATATGGCATGGTTTCTATATGTATGTGTAGTGTGAGTTTCAGTAGGCAGTAGGTAGCCAGTACCAGAAAGCAGAAGGAAGTCATATTGAGGATCCAGTCTCCAAACAGGCAAAGATGAGCTGCCAGGATTGAGGACCATATGGAAGCTTTATCAGAAGAAACACCCCCGCAGAGCTTACAACTCCCGTTAGGCAGAATCTCCATTTTCAGTCCAGATTCTCCTCAGCCCTCCGCTCTGTGTTAACAGCTCTGCAGACATCCCTGTCCCTCTGTCCTGGCACGTTCATCAACTGCACAAGCCCACAGCGTCTATGGCACCAGCCCTGTGAGTTCAGCAGGACCTGTGAGCTTCTCCCCTCAACCACAGGCAGCAGTTTCTGCTCCTACAGACAGTCATCTCGGGGCGATACCTGCTTGAGTATTGGAATGGAGTCCCAAAACCGACATGAATTCCTAGAACGGATTAATAGAGATTTGATAATTGAAACTGTGGGCTTTGGAGAATTCTTGAATGATACAATAGCCACAGAGCACCCCTCCAGAAAGGAAATACTTATCCTTCATAAAAATAATTGAAAACATTAATTCTCAAAACGGCACAAACCACGCTATTTTGGTGATCAAAGAAGATTTTTCAGAAAACAAAAGTGTAATTTCCTTTCAGGACTCCAGATTCCTAAAATGCCTTCTCAAGGGAGTGAACACTCATGGTCCGTACCATCCATCAAACATCACTGTAGCAGTGATGATTTTAATCTATAAATAGTAGAAATCAAGAACTACAATAAGCAGCCTGCTACTAAGAAAATTTCAAAGCGGTTTTATTCTTATGTTTTTTATTTCCACAAGACTGCTCTTTGGATAAGATAACAAGTCACTCCATTCTACAGATCTAAAAAGCTTTGCATTTACATCTGTTTATGTACAATAAGTTTTTTTTTAATTTATGATTGTAATTTTGTAATTCACAGTACAATGATACTCACATCAACTGTATACAAAACTCAGTGAAGCACAGAAAAAACAAGAACATACTTGCTGAAGTCTTGTTTGGTTCTGTATACTCAACAACTGCTTTATTTTCTCTGTGTATTTTGCTTTGACCTTCATGGCCATTTTATAAATCTAAACCAAATTTTCCCTATGTACAGGTTAGAACAGCGTCCACCTTCAGAAATATACTGTTCAACACAAATATAATTCCACATTTTTTAAAAGTCAACTTACAAGATTCTGAAATTATGATGTACTAAACCTTCTGCATCTCTCTCCATCATTTTCTTAAGACTTTTCTTTTTGTTTTCCAAGATATTCTTTTCTTTCCCCAGCAAGTTATTTGTTGAATATATGGGAGGTCTTGAAGAGAGAAACTTTTTGTCACATTCTCATCTAACATTTCAGAAAGATCCAGTGAGCTCTTCAGAAAACATGGAGGAGAAGAAGTACCCAGGAGACGTCTCCATACCAAGTCCTAAACCCAAGCTCCATTCAAGAGATCTCAAAAAGGAACTCATCACGTGAGTCTCAAAAATTGCCACATTTCCCCCTGCCTTGCTAAAGACTGATTACACTGATGTTCTGAGTGTTGGTTTGGGGTAGATTTACAGGAGCTGAGCAGGGAGACTTGCACGACAGTTGACTGCAGGTGGTTGGTTCCCTGTTGTGTCTGTGCAGCTGGGTAGGCACGGGGTCTGGAGCTGACACAAGCCAGGGTGGGCCTGGAGGTGTGGACAGAATCATGACTAACATTCTACTGGGTATCACTCCTTATTCCTCAGATAGGTAACAAATTGGCAAAGGGTCTTTCTACAAAAAAAAAAAAAAAAAACAACCCAGTTTTGTAGTGTGCTATGGATTTTCTACGCTGATGCTTACATAATTAAACAAACTTTATTTAGACAATTGTCATTATAGATACACTTGAGAGTTTGTGGAGAAGCGCTGGGAAATTCTCAGGTAGGAAACAAGCAAAACTCATAAAAAGACAAAACTCAAGACAGGAACTGCCCCAGGTTTTTCCAACCTGTATGTTTCAGTCCTTCACCTGGTTCTTTCAAAGCAGAGTTAGTTATTCTGTCTTGCTGGAAATCGAGTGGATGCACAAATTCACACTCTGGGAGAATAGGCTAATACTCTCTTTTCCCAAATACAGAGACTCCCTTGGTCTGTCTTAAGCTCCAAAACTTTACTATCTAAAACTGAAAACAGGATAATTTCATTAAATCTTCCCGCATGAAACATCCTGTTTCAGTTTACAATCTTTTCAGTAATATTGCCCCAACCAGCTCATAACACTAGTCACTTTTAAAAATCTCATCTAGGCTCTTCACAGAAATCCTTTGAATTCACATCAACACCATTTTGGTATCAGTAGAATGTTTCCACTGTAACAGTCAACTAAGACTTAGCAATCATTTATAGCACTTTCTTTCTGTCCCAAACCAGTGTAGGTCTCTCTAGACAAGTGCACTCTGTATCGTTTGGTGATGAAGTCCTTAACAATCACTGCAGGCTCACCCATAAATGAGTGAGTCGCATCCCGTCACCTTGTGTCCTGCTCCCCACACTCGGTGGCACTGGAGCAGTTAGATCTGCCTCTGTCTCTAGAAATTACATTTCCCTGGGGCAAGCTTCTGTGAAGAGTGATTCTTTCCCCTGTTACCATGCAGTCTGCATGTTGTCTAATCTCTACATTATATCTGCAGTTGTAGTTCATGACCTAAATTGCTACAGGTCAGTTTTGTTTTGCCTCTTCTAAAACAAATGCATACAAAAATCACTGAGAATTTATTTGCTGAAGACTAATGGCCTTTCTTTTGTAATATTTATTCCTTTGTGATATTGACCTGTTGTGAGATGTCTGTAAAATAGTTTTCTACTCTCCTAAATAATAATACCAGGAGTATTTACCAGGGCAATGATCAGCTTACAGTGGTTTTAATGTATTATTTTCAAACAGTGAGTAGAAACAGGTATCTAAAATGTAGCTGTCCAGAAAATTAAATAAGAAATAGTTTTAATTTATCAGAAGAATCTACAGGTAGCATAGGGATCACGCTGCATTTCTGTGACCCCATTGAGCTCAGAGCTTGTACAGAACAATTCAATACAGGTGGCTCCATCATGAGGAAGTTTTTAAAATGACATAAGCACTTGTAGAGAAAAATTTTCTGACATGGTGTGCTCAGTTGCAGTGAACTAATTTATAAATACCAACTCCTAGCACGTGCTTTCTATTCTTCCATATTAATTCTCCTGCCCATAGCTGCATTTCTAAGGTTGAACAGGGCTGTGAAAATGAAGCTGGTGTCTTCCTAAGGTTTCTTTATAGATTTGAATAAGTTCCTAGTACTCTGCCAGCTCAGATAAAATAGCCAGCTGAGGATCTCAGGTACCCCTTACTCATTACTATGAAGCACTAGCTAAAAGATTTTGTACAGTTCCTGCTTGCCCTTCTTATCCATGGGCCCAGTAAATGAAGACACAGCCCTTTATAAGGTGACTCTGCAGGCTTGGTGTTAGGATTGTAAAATACTGCAGAAAGGTACACTTAATTCACCTACCCCTCCTCCTCCATGCACAAATTGCATTTCTTGATATCTTTGCACTCTTGCAGAGGACTGTATCCCAATTTGATAAACGAGCTCAGTGTTATGACTGAAGAAGGGCTGAGGAAAAACAGAAGCTATAACACATTCTGCAGGTCGAACATGCCTCCACCTCTTGGCATGAAGCGACATATTTGTTTTGCTAAATGTACACCACTTTTGTATCACTTCTCTGTTCAGCTGAGAAACATCTTGGGAAACTTTTATGCTCATTCTGAACTTCATCTGTGTGAGCTCGACATGCTTTCTGTTCTGCAAGTAACCATAACACCTAATTTTTTACTTACGTCAGCAAACAAAGGTTGGATATGTTTCAAAAGAAGGCGCCTTCTTTCAGTTAGAAGTCAAGGGAATTACTTTGAATATTACCGTTCTCTGGCCTGTGTTACACAGGAGGTCAAATCAGAAGTTTCATCCCTAATATTTCTGAATTGCTGTCAAAATTTAGTACCAGTAATGAAACTGTCCTTTAAAGAACCCAAGCTGTAACCAAAAGAACTACACAAAGCATGGTGACTTCACAATATGTAGATTAAAAAAATAAGATGTTGACTCATTTGCATGGTGGAAATAGGAAAACTATTTTCCATCTATGCTTCAAATCATAATAGAAAGCTAGAAATGTCATGTGAGTTTTGCTAGTTTTCTGTAGTGTCATAAGTGTTGAGATGTGCAATGACAAATGTGATTGCCCTAAGGATCATTACATAATTCACTGCAGGGCAGAGTGAGCTATGTGGTGTATTATAAATACTCTAATTTCTCATTGCATCTTCTTTGCACTTTGCATAGCTGTCCAACTCCAGGATGTGATGGTAGCGGTCATGTAACAGGAAACTATGCCTCACACCGCAGGTAAGAAACAACAGGAAGCCTAAAGCAGGAAACAGAGCTACTTTTAGCTATTGTCATCTTTGAGTATTTTTTATACTAACCATAGATAAATATTAAAAAGTAATTTGCAGAAAATAATCCATACAGAAATGTGGCTGTTTTTTCTGGTTTTATATTTTGTGAAGGTCTGGGCTCAATAGACTGATGGAGTTAAGCAGCATATGCTTATTACTATAGCTGAGACCGGTAGATAAGTCATTTAGTAAAGTTTCCATTTCTCTGAGTGTACAAATGCTCTCTGTACAGATGCTGGTTAATGAAGTTTTAATGCCATTTCTGCAGAAATCTCTATGATCGGCTTTGAAATTCATACATAGATCTGCTAACATAATCTGAGGATGTTAAATATTTTCCTCAGGATAGCCTAATGAAACCTGTGGATTGAAACAATAATTTCCTGCCTTTTCTTTTGGGAGCAGGATGGAAGTACTTTCTGCCTTTTTCCAGCCACATGGACCAGATGCTCTACCTGCCCTTCATCTAGGCTACATAAAGGAGAGACTCTGTGTACCACTGTCTCCCCATACAAAGCTTTGCAGGGGCTTAGAAACTTTGGCCCTGATTATATATCTTTCCAGTAATTTAAGAACTACATCCTGTTATTGTCTGCTCCTCCTTTGCCAAGAACAAATATTTGAGGATCTCTTTTTTCCCTTTCTAAGTCATAGATTGTCTGGGGGTTGCTGTTTTAATTAAAAAAAAAAAAAAAAGTTATTTTTTAGTAAAAACATTTCACATCATTGTTTTTCCAGCGTTTCTGGGTGTCCGCTAGCTGACAAGACATTAAAATCCCTTATGGCTGCTAACTCTCAGGAGCTTAAGTAAGTATTGGTAATAGCATAAATGTTATTTATTTTTGAATAACATGTTCTCTACATTAATGCAGTTGTTCATTTGAATTGCTCTGAGTTATGTCAAACTTTTGTCCAAAATTTGAAGTGAATTTGTTTGAAAGCTTTTGAATGAAATAGAGTTTACTTTCCTCCATTTGTCTTTCTTCATTTTTGTACCCCTTCATTTTCATGAATTAACCAGGACCCGGGGGGAAAATATTGTAAACACTGAGAGAGATGCTGCTCTCTCAGTATTTCTGAATCAGAGAGACATAGAAAATATCTAACATGTAAGACAGATCTGGCAAATAACTCAGCCTGATCCAGTTGGAATAAATTAGAATTATTTAGTTAGAAATAGATCTAGTTAGAATAAATATAAAAACAAGACCAGAATTCCTGCAGATCATTCTTTATCATTCACTACCTTATACTATGAGTTTAATGTCACTGAAGCAGATATCAAGTCATATGATTTTGTGCTGGCATAATTCTTACCATGAAATGTCACGTACAAAAGGACTGTGCAGGCTCTGCTATATAGACAGATGTATAGGGACATATGAATATTTCAAAAATCTGTAGTCAAGAGAGGCACTGGCAACCAGTCATCTAGTTATTGAATTGGCTTTGTCAATAAGGATGTGGGGAAGAGGAAAGGATAATTAGAGTTCTTTCATAGCTTTCCCTCTGCAACTTGTAAATTGGATCCCATAATAGATGGCTTGGAAAAACTCATGAATGCGTGTGAAAAGGGGAGAATCCCGTGACTGTCCTTTCTGTCCTTTAGGTTCATCCCTAGTCCCGATAGAAGAAAATAAAGTCTGATCATGGCACTATTATGCTGTTCTAATGGTATTAATAGTAGGAGTGACTACATTTATGCTTGACTCAGTGTTTAGTCACAAGTGAGCTTCTTCAGATCAAATGTTAATGGTTTCATTTTCTAGTCTGACAATTTGAATTATAAACAAAATGCTGAACCAATGGTAGCTATGGAGTTGATCCTGCTGTAGGTGCAGCAAAATGGCAAAGAAAGGATGTTTATATGGGGAACTGCTCAAAGCAGTTCCCAAAGTCAGTAGGTAAACTGATGCACTGGCACAGTGCTTCAGTTTTTCAATCTTGGAGCCTCAAAGGTATAAAATATAGTTTTAGTTTGTTTAAAAAAAAAGCAGCATGAGAAGCAAGAAACTGATGTGAAAATGCTGACAAATTTTAAATAATTTGCTGAGTCATATATATTTGTCCTTGCTTTTGTTGGCTTTCTGCCATACATAGACACTCACACAAATATTTTGAATAGTTGCTCCTCATGCAGCACCCCCCCCCCCCATATTCATGTGTGAATAAGGAAATTTGCATACCAATATGGTTATTTTTCCACTAAAGCTTCTAGAGTTTTGGTCATGCCATAAGGAAAGAGGAGCAACAGCATATGACTTAAATGACAAACTGCACACTGTACGCCATGTATAATAAGTGAGTTGTGAAAGACAAAGTCAAAGTTCATGAACATTTCACAGACAGAAATATGTTGCATAACGCACTTAGCATTTAATTTCAATTAACTAGAAAAAGAGCAAAAATCAAAATCTGTTCACAGACAATTTGCAAAAGGAAAGAGGGCTAAATAAAATTATTTTTCAGAAATGTACCACCTTATTTTAGCTTCCTGCAAAAATTTTTCAGGTTAAATTCTAAGTAAACCTCTGCTTTTGATAAGTGTTGTCTAAATGAAATCAAATGCACAAAACTGCAATTGTGCCTGTGCTGATATAGTACAGTGATATCAGTAGTTAATTTTACTATTACTGTGTGAGCAGAGGGCATAAATGGTCATAGAATCAGGCCATGAAAGTATCCTCATGTAGCTACACATGAATATGAAAATGCTGTGTATTTTTTCCAAATGCTTTTCACATTTAATTTGCCAGAGTCAAGATATGTTTTTGGCTTTAATTAAGAAACTCTAAGCCAGCAAAGATACAAGGCTTCCATGTGATCTGCAGTTTGGAAATAAGGAAGTTCTGTTCAGAAAGTGAGCCTTTCAGTTAGATTCGATAAATTTTTATTTGAGGATTCTTGCTTGCACAAAGCAATCTAAGGCTGGTCAAATTAAAACATACTAAAGTTGATGATGATTCATCAATTTTAAAGCTATAAGGGTGAATTATGACTGATTATTCTATTTCACTAAAGAGCTGCTTATCAAGCCTTAAAGAATTTTAAAGGTGTGCTTTAGAAAGGTAATTATTTACAGATCAGAAACATTCAGGAATAGATAGTCAGTCCTATCCCTAGACAAGTTGTTTCAGTGGTTATAGGTCATTTTTTAGAGAGATTCTAGCCGTTCTTCCAGATAAGTTTCACACGAGATGTTGACACTGATCCATATTCTATCGGCAGCATGACGTATTTCAGTCTACAGTTTTTTCAGCTGACCTCTGTGGGTTTCTCTTAACTAAAGTTCCTACCCAACCATCTCTGTGAGCTTTCCAGGGAGTAAAAGTACCAGAAATGCTCCTAGATCTGCAGCTCAGTGTATTGATTTTATGTGACGTTATAGTATATTTATCTAAAGGTAAAACAACCCTCTTGGAGAAGGGAACAAAATAGTAGGTACTCAAAACACACTTATAGGAACTTCTGTGTGAAATCATTGAGAGATTTGCTCTTGGAAAACAAACTTGATGAATTCTAAAAGGATATGTAACCTACACCCACTTGAGAGCTGACATCTTTTAGCTTGATTTCCTGAGGCCTCTGGCCCCTCCAATGTAAATCTGATTTTCTTGGCTCTGCACAGGAATCCAAAACAGAGGATGTCTCCCTAAGCTGGGAGACCAGTCCAAACTCATCAGCCAGTTAAAAGCTGATGAAGATCCACAGTATTACTGACTGTAATGCAATTCATTGTTGGTATATCTTGTATTGTAGAATTTCACAACCCATACAAAGATATAACCAATATTTGGAAAATTCAACCCAGTGGTCAAGCTTAGGAGTCTTGCTAGTGAAGCTTCTTACTAATTTGTCATTAATCCACCAAAAATATAATTTTATAATTTTGTCAGTATTGATGATGGCTCAGCCTCAAATCTTTAATGACCTCAAGAATACCTTGGACTCAACTCTGATTGTGAAATCTAACTGTTGCCAGAAGTGGTAAATACAGATGAGGAGATTTAAATTTAGCTCAGTGTCTTTTTTAAGTCCATAACTCTCAGAATCTCAGATCTGAATGTCTCCCACGAAGAGCTCTTACTGAATTAAAATCCATGTCCAGTATATGGGGACAGCTCTTCCATCTGTGATCATCTGATAAAACAAGTAGCCAAAATTAATACTCATAGTATTTGGCAGGTGTTCTGGATTTACTTGTGAGCATTCACACTCTCCAGACATCTGCCCTTGCTGCCTGATCCACATGACATTGTGCCCAGTCCTTGTCCCACACTCAGGCAGGTCAATATTTATGCCTACACAGTTGAGCATATCTGGCACACTGAAACCCACACCTCTACCTTTGCTGTCAGTGTGAGGCATGTCATTCTGCCAAAATATTTTGTTCAGAAAATGTCATCATGAAATGTTTTGACATTGTCTTTAAAAAAAAAAAAAAGTCTGCCCTTTCTTCAGTTGAAATTATTTGCTGAATTCTACTTGAACCAATGAATAAATTTGGTTATGTCCCAAAATCACATTTTTGACAAATTAATTGTTAGCAGAAAAATAGTTTTAAATATTCTGTGAAGAGATACACCTGCACACTCAGATGTGACATTGCAATTACATTTGTAGGTGTTTTCCATGGCAGCCTACTGACGATTAGATTAAATTGCCCATCTCCTCACTTCAGGAAAGATTCAGTAACAACTGAGACCCTTAAGAGAGCATTGAACAATGCAAGTTTCCTTAATGGTTCTCTAGAAGATTACTTGGCACAACTCTTCTGTAATTCTGATTCTCTGTAAAAATCTTAACATTCAAAAGGCCCTTAGGAATTCTTAGCAAAAGAACTTTGTGATGTATAATACAGAAATGTAGAAACAGCTGGCACAACTTCTAAAGGTAAATATTTTTTTTTTGTGCTGATTTGTGTGCTGAGGTGTGTTTCTCTTCTCTTGGGAAAAAAAAAAAAAAAAAGAAAACCAAAACCAAACAACAAAACAAAATGAAAGAAAAAACCACACAAGTAATACCCTCAAATGAAAAAAAAAAAAAAAAAAGAAATATCTGAACTGAGATGGAAGGTGTTACCTTCCTACTCCAAACCCTACAGAAGCCAGTGGAAAGACCTGCTGACTCCAGTAGGCTTCTGAGCACGTTCTTCTCATACAACCAATAAGCAAGAAGCCCATCCTCTCAGACCACTGGCAAAAACACAGCAACAGGAAGGTTTGTTTCCTTACCTTGTATGGGTGTTTTAGTATTAAATGTTCATGCTTGAAAAGGCTTGTTTGTTGCATACACACAGAGAAACCCCTTAACTATGAGACCTAGGCACAACCCCACTGCCAAGCTGAGTACCCAATTGAATCTAGTGGTAGAAAGTTATGGTCCTGTTATATGCTTACAGTGCTAGCATATACAAATTATTAATTTTGAATTCTGGTTATCATCTATTGATGCCCAAAAGTAAAACTCCATCTCTGTTTCTGTTTCCCCTTCTGTATATACTGGCAAAATTCTTATTTATATCTGTACCTGAAAACTTCAGAAGAATGACAAGGGCATAACAGTAAATTTACAAATAGATCTATATCGAGCTGCTTTTTTAATTACTATCGTTGTAGTGTTGATCCTGTACAAGGAAAAATGTTTGGTGCAAACAGTGTTATAGACTAATTAAATCTACACATCATACGCGATATATTTCACATTCCTTACCAAAACTCTTTTATAAAAGGAAAAAAATAATAGGAAAGGAATCTGCTCATTTCAACAAAAAATATCAGCAAGAACTAGTTCTAATTATTCATCAAAAGCTTTGCTGTTCTTTCTTCCACCCCGGACAAAAAGCAGAATGTAGGTGTTATTTATCGTGTGCTTTTGAAGCCACCTTTTCCAAGCTCCCTCTCTTATTCTGTAGGTGCCCAACACCTGGCTGTGATGGCTCTGGCCACGTGACAGGGAACTACGCATCCCACAGAAGGTAAAAACTGTCCCGTCCCACGGGGCAGCAGCGCTCCGGGTTCTCGGCAAGCAGCAGCAGGAAGAGGTGACTTTTATTCCGTGTGCTTCTTTCAGCTTATCAGGTTGTCCTCGTGCCAGGAAAGGAGGTATCAAAGTGACTCCTACCAAGGAAGAAAAAGACGACCCTGAACTTAAGTGAGTACAAAAGCAGTGGTCTATGGCCAGTGAAGGGGGGAAAAAAACCCATGAGGGCTCAGGACTTGAGGCATCATAAGAGATGCCCCAGTTCCTCTGAGCCGTGCTAGGGTACGGCCTCGAGCTGGAGCCAAGTGTTTCTGCTTCTAGTGAAGCTGGTGGAGTCCATCACCTACCTTGGAGCTTGAACAGTGAGGAAGGATTGCTGTATCTGCTTGCATTGGTCCAATAATTTTAAACAGTGCTATGAAAGTGCCACTTGGTTGAAAAATTTGGCAAAATGAAGGAAAACAAATTATTTCTGCCTGTAGTGAAAACTTAACATCAGCTAATTAAATCAGAGTGACTCCTTCAAAATATGTCCCAGAGAACTTAAATATATGTAAATCTCATGTTTTCCCTCTATAAATAAACTCAAATTTCGCTTAAAATGAAAACTGGAAACTCAATAGAGATACATTCCTGACTTGAATGCATATTCTATTAAAACAAGTAAATGATAACTGCCAGAATATAGATATGAAGATTTAGTTGCATACACTGTTGTTCTTAATGCTTGCTAATGATCTGTGAGAGGCTGTGTAACACTGACAGAGCAGCACAAAAAAATCCCAAACCTTGCCTTGCAAGTATTTGCATTAGATGTTACAAGTTTTCCAGGTACAGCAACCCACCCTGTGCTTCACATGAAAAACCTAGATAGCAAGGAGAGAGTGTTGGCTTTCCATACACTTGTAGAAGTGTATTGCTTGTGATAGAATTTCAATTTTCTTTTCTGGTAAAATACTGTCTAAATGAAAGTTTTAGTTTCTTGGGCTGTACAACTGTATTTTAAATTTTGTAATCTTAAAATCATCTGAAGCCCCATAACTCAGCTTGACATGAATTGGATTCTCAGGCACAGTGTGCCTCCAGGGACCGAGTCTTAATCCATTAATGCAAAGTGGCACAGGCAGCTGGAATTATTTTCGCAGACTTTCTTGAGACTGTCTTCTGCTGCTCTCTCCACTGAAAACGGGGGTTCTTTTGCTGTGTTTCTGTAGATGTCCAGTGATAGGCTGTGATGGCCAAGGTCACATATCAGGTAAATACACTTCTCATCGCACTGCTTCTGGTTGTCCTTTGGCTGCCAAGAGACAGAAGGAGAGTCCTGTCAATGGGTCTTCACTATCCTGGAAACTGAACAAACAAGAGCTGCCACACTGTCCTTTGCCAGGCTGCAACGGACTGGGTCATGTTAATAATGTTTTTGTCACCCACAGAAGGTATAAATTTGTGTTTTCTCTTTTCATTTTTCCTTAACATTCCACTGTTGAATTGGCAACATGTGAGGTTACAGTCTGAATAAATTGTGCTGAAGTCTCTTAAGTAACAACATAGCTTACATTACAGCTGAAGTAATATGGATCAGAATAACTTGCAGAGGGTTGGGATCAATTTTTACCTCTTTTTCTATGTTCCCATTGCAGCATGACTTTCCAAGGGCTTTTCTTCTGATTAGCACGGTTTCTATATGGTTTAAAAATTAATAGAGTTCTTTCCTAGGCAAATATGGAGTGGTATCTGGAAATCTTTTATGGATGATGAAAATATCATTGAAATGTCAGCAACAAAGATTTAGCAAGAGCAATGGCTGCATTTCATCTTTCGACCAGTGAAAAAAATCTTTTCATAAACTTTCTATTTAAATAGCTAGAAACACACAAAAAATTAAACATGGAACTCATATGGATTACACAAGTTTGAAGTTCTAATAATCTTACAAAGAAAACTATCCTTACAAAGCAGTAAACACACATATAACCAGTAACAATAAACACCACAATTTTACATATCTCTCTGAAAACACTAGTATAATTTGACCATGTTCAACCAATATTACTCAAAGGATCTGTTTATAACGTATTGAATACCTGGCATAGTTCGGTCTTCTGTCTGAAACAGGAATTGAATCCATATTCCATACCTCCTTTCCTTTCTTTCTAACACTCTTTATGAGCTACATTCCATGTTAAAATCTTTGCATTAGGACACTACTGTAAATTGGGGCTAATAAACTCAAGCTAAGTGATACGATAACTTCCAGCAAACAACAAAAATAGCATGCTGGCTGGTTGCAACTCATACTACAGATGATTTCTGTCCTACCTACGGCTGGATCTCACTCAAGATCATGTTAGTTAAAACGAGGTAGTAAATGTACTTTTGTGGTATGATCCCCTTTCCTAGCACACTTGAAATCTAACAAGTAACTCATGGCTTTGAGACGTTCCTCCAGTTAGTTATCTGCTCTGGGCAGAGATACTAAGCAGCATTTTATAACTGGAGAACCAGTGTGTTTCCCTTATAGCTTTTAGCTAAGCAAGTGTAAAGCTAACTGTTAAAGTTTTTTTTTTCCATGTGAAAACACCATGTCTGTTAGGAATTTCGGTTTTAATTTTCACACACACACACACAAATCAACCATTTTCCTGTGCAACAAAATTTGTCTTCAGTCCTTACTTGGCTACATCTGAATACAAATCATTCTGTCAGTTTTTCAGCATATGGGTATTTCTTCTTTGTTATTTATAAAGATAGTATTAAGACAGTGCAGTTCATCTTAGCCCTTTAGTGGGCTATAAAAATTGCCTCAGATAATTACCAGCTGATGAAATTGTAAGCTTTGAAATAGCAAAATGTAATTTAATGTGAACAGTGGTTAAAAAGCAAACTGACTATATAATAGAACCGTTCAAAAAAGCTATTACAGTCTATAGGGTATATCCAGACTTATTATAGTATTGATCATTATTATGTATCAACAAAATGATACAATAGTTGTGTACCATGGAAATCATCCCATTAACTAATTTTTTTTTAGGTTAGTAAATTTGCCATTTTAAAGGACCATACTGCCCCTCTCATCTGAAGAACAAGCCCTCAATAAAAGCAGTTGAGAGTTTTTATATATTAGTATTGGAACTTCAAGAATTTTGTAAATGCATCTTCACATAACTTAATAGTAGCTGCCACTGCTATTTTGATTATTGTAAAATATGCTTAAGAGTTGTTTACTTATAGGTTGAGATTTCTGTGCCAATTTTCAAGCTGGAATATACAGTTAAATGGCTCTTTATGAGTTATGTCATTCCCCGAAGCTATGCTATAATGGAGATACTGATGTGACCTTAGGTACAGAGGTCTGTCCAAGTGCATGATAATATTGCCTGAAAGGATTGTTGCCATTTTCAAGGGGGTGCTAATGTTTTTTTTCCCGATCCGTTTCAGCCTGTCTGGTTGTCCTCTGAATGCACAAGCCATAAAAAAGGGCAAAATTTCGGAAGAATTAATGACTATCAAGCTGAAAGCAAGTGGTGGTAAGGAGATTTGTAAAAGATGATGACATTTATTTAGCTAGAAGGGCCCTGACTCCCATTTATACTTATGCCCCTTTCTGCCATTCTGGCATTAATTCTCACTCCTTTCAGTTGTCTCTAGCAATAACAAATCTTGAATAACAAAAATCTTTGCATGAGAGATTATAAAAGTCTTCTAATTTACATGATGATAACTCAACATTGAGGGTATGCTCTCATCTTGCCTAGGAGCATTATTTTGGGATTTGGAGATACTTTTGATATTGTTATTACTAATAAATTATTAGTTACAGATCAGGAGGACTTATCTATCTGATGACTAAGGTAAGAAGGGATAAATATTGTGTTCAGAAACTGACTCATCTCCCTAACATGAATACTACACGGTTTAGTTTCTGTGCGGTACTTGGACAATTTTGCTAACATATGTAGAAAGTGTAAAGGAACAATTACCAAATATACATAGGAGGAAATACATAACAGTCTACTTTCCTATAGAGCGTGCTTTACTAAGTTGGGCATTGAGCCAGGGTTCGGGCAACTTAGTCTTTATGCCTCCAACTGCTGAGGAAAAATGCTGTGTTATGTTGGGCAAACGAGTTTGCTTCCATGTGTCCGTGTTATCACTGGGGCAGGGACTGCTGCTTACAGCCTTCCCAAGCTGGCTCCCCAGTAGAGTCTGTTCAGGGCTACAGTTTTTAAAGCAGTAACAACAGTGACACAAATCTCTAGGCAGAGCTGGTCTCGGAGTGCTACAGAGCAGAAAGAGGAGCATCTATTGCCAGCAGCTGTAGCTGCTCAGTATTTTTCAGGACAAGGTTTTCATTAAAAGACCTGAAGAATTTTTTACTTTGTTACCTAGCTTGTGAAGACGTAAAAGTCTGCCTTCTTTTTTTTTTTTTTTTTTTTTTTTTTTTTTTTTTCTGTAATGCTTGTTAGCTTCCTGAAAATTTCTCTTTTGCTGCTATTCAAATTTCACTGTTTATCACATGTAATTAAGGCTGTGCTCCTTGAAGTTATTCTGCACAGAGATTTGCCCCCACAGAACTTCTTGCAAGATCAGAAGCAGGTACAGATAAGCCTACTGAAGTCAGCAATTATACCAGTGGAAATGTTACCCTGAGGTGTTCCCTGCAAAAGAAGGGTTGCTGTTAGGTTTCTTTTTAAATGAAAAAAAAAACCCACCACAAATAGCCCCTCATGTTTTATGATAAACTTTCCTCTTTCTGAGCAATTTTTCCTTTATGTACCCTCCAGCTTGTAGTTGCATGTTGCACCAGTAAAAAAAAAAAAAAAAAGGATTGTGAAACACAAAGACCCAGAAAGTCCCTTTTATGTTACAGCTCATATAGATGTTTTACAGCTAGGAAACAATTTTGACAGTAAAAGCAAAGTAAGAGGCAATTTAAGGATCAATCATTTGATCCGAAGCTTGTTATCTTCCTCTTGTTCAGTAACAGATAATGCAGCTTGTTACTCATATATCCATTTACATGTGGACGCTTTAAATATGATATTGGTATTTTCAACTATTTGCAGGTATTGAGAGTGATGAAGAAATCAGACACTTGGATGAGGAAATAAAAGAATTGAATGAATCCAATCTTAAAATTGAAGCTGACATGATGAAACTTCAAACCCAGGTATGACATCAAAGTGAAAGTTTTAGCTTATCTTATGCTATGTTTAAACACAATAAACAAATTAAATGCTATGTAAATTATATGTTTAAACACAGTTAGTGTCCTGTGCACTTGTTTTCCCATCACTCTGTGGCACTTAAAAGTATCAAAATCCTACATGTTTTTTTGTGACGTTTTATTTGTTTGTTTGTTTTCTGTAAATAAGCAGCAGATTCCTGGGTATTGTCATAAAGATCTGCTGAGTGACAAAGTCGGGGTAGTTTAAAATTGATCCCAGTGCCCAGGAACGGGGTAGGAAAGTAGCACAACAGCTAATACCCATGCCCTTGCTATTGCGGTTGATCAGCAGGGATCCTGTAAGTGCAGGACAGCGATGTAAACATCGGTCTCCTTTCTCCTTCCCTCCACCAGCCCTGCGGCCGTAATCTCCATCCCAGCTCCACACTGACCTTCCTCACTGAGCTCCCTTCCCTCCTCCCATCACAGGGCACCCTCCAGTGCCTTGCTGCCACACGGTTTCCTTGTGAACCAGCAGCGAAGTCAATCGAGCAAACACGAGCAAATACGACCTCTTCCTTGCTGTGAATATTCTGTAGAGAAGTTATATCTCTCCTAACAAAAACACACCTGAGTTCCAGACCCCTCTCGCAATCAGGCAACTGCCATTCTGGGTTCAAACCTCGAACACAACACCGCCAAGGGTCTGTCTCTCTGTGTGTTTCTGCCTGCCTGTGTCTTTTAGATCACATCTATGGAGAGCAATTTGAAAACAATAGAAGAAGAGAACAAACTCATAGAGCAGAACAACGAGAGCCTGTTGAAGGAGTTAGCTGGCTTAAGCCAAGCTCTCATCTCCAGCCTCGCTGACATTCAGCTTCCACAGATGGTAAGACCACAGCCAGTAGCTTCACACCTTCTTTGAGACTGTTTTGCCAGCACTTGAAGAAAATAAGCAAGCTCAGGGACCAGAAAGAGCACTGAAGCTGTATTAGCAGAGAGCTCTTTTGGCCTAATTTCTTTGCAGAGATGCTGAATCATGATAACGGGCTCAGTTTTTTCCAGGACTGAACCAGCCCTGGCATCTCTGTCCTGTACACCGCACTGTGCTGGACAGTCTTTTCCCCTTGTCCCTCCCTGTCTGAATGTCCACCCTGCACAAATAGTGAAAACTTCACACCGAGAATCCTTATTTACTCTGCTCCTACATCAAAGCTTTAACCTGTTTCATACAGGTGATTTTTCTGGAGCCAACAAAGCTCTACCTTCTCAAAAACTCCATTTCTTGATGTCTTCCTTGCAAACGCAGGCCAAACCCACAAAGGTACTTGGGTCTGCAGAGCTGCAGTCCCCTCACCCAGCCTCCAGAGCGCTGCGGGGAGATTAGGTGAGGGCAGTTATGGGGATGTCAGCCACAATCCCAGAGCCAAATGGGCCTCAATAAAAAAGCAAGTTACACAGATGATAATATTTCCCACCCTTTTTCTTGCTTGGAGATGGTGTGGTTCCTCCAGCACATGCAACTCCCTTCATTTCTACAACGCCTCCATTAATTTGGAAGGCTGCCCTGTTTCTGACTTCTCCCCAGTTGCCATATCACTGCTTTTCCATGCTTTGGGGTTGGGTGTTTTGGGTTTTTTTGGCCTTAATTTTCTCTCCTACAATTATAATCTGTTTTGTCTTCATTTAGGGGCCAATCAGTGAGCAGAATTTCGAAGCATATGTAAATACACTCACAGACATGTACAGCAATCTGGAACGGGACTATTCCCCCGAATGCAAAGCTCTGCTGGAAAGTATCAAACAGGCAGTGAAGGGCATCCATGTGTAGGATGTGAAAGCTGCTGGGCAACAGAAATTACTTAACAGCAGTAAACTCCAGATGGATCTGTTAGGAGTTCATGTACTGCTAAGGGGTGTAGGTTGCCATGCTGCATTTACAATTGCAACATTGCACTAATTTTTTCCCAGCTGACATAAAAAAAAAAAAAAAAAAAAAAAAAAGAATAAAACCACAACAGACTATTTGTATTAACAGCAATGCACTCTGTTAGTATATTGTATTTATTTCAGTACAATTCCTTTTTTTTTTCTTCTTTTGCACTCAGTTTTTGTAAAGTGAATGTAAAAAGTGTGTGCAACTATTTTTTATATTTTTTATTTATTTCTAATCAAAGAGTTGTTTTTTTTATCTTTTAACAGCATTTTTGCGGCCTGCCATATTTTTACAAATGTGTTTATTAATTTATTTTCCAATGGGATTTTAAATAGACTGAAAAGTTATACTGTAAATTAAATAACTTGCTGGGTTTGTACAGGAAGAAAAAAAAACCTATGAAAGTAACAAATGACTGAACCGTGGTTCTAGTTTTATTTTCCTCACATCCTGCTTTTTTATAATGGCTTTGTATCAGAAATGAGTTTGCGATAACATGAGATGTGAAGATGCATGGAATGAGAAGATAAATGGTGCCCACTAGTGGGGACTTGGGCTCTTAAAAGCACAGTATGCTGGAAAACAGTGTGTTAAAGAAGACGTTAGCAATAATGAAATATAGCAATCAGCAAAGCACTTGACTTGGCTGTGTGATTTAGCCTATGAGAATGATTATTTAAAATGTTTCAAGAGAACTTCGGGTTTATTTTACCACTGCAGTTTTTTTTCAGAGTTAGCTCATGGAGGGAAATGACAATTATCTCTAAACAAGAAGGATAATTGGCTAGGACTGGTACTTTTTTAGTACGAGACGTTGAGGTTTTAACCAAGTGACCAGTATTGCTATGGATTTGGATTTGAAAAACGCAAAAAAATCCCGAGACGAAGGCTTTGTACATAATGAATCAAACACATCTCCCCTGAAATGGCATTTAATACTGGTTTGAACTTAACGGCAGCTGAGAAGGCAGCGGTCTGGAGAGGAATAATACCCCTCCAGCGCAGCGGTGGTTGCTTTTCTCTTCAAACGAACTGTAGCAACACCGTGACTGGTCTCTCCCACTCTTCTTCACTAAGACTAGGCTGATACTGACCTTGTTACCAGTCTTTTGGTAGGGCACCAAGTGCTGCAGAGCATCCAGACAGACGGAGGTGCGGACAGACGAGCACTTGCGCGGAGGTGCTGGCGTGTGCCTCGGTATCTGGTTAGCCTGGGTGTGGAACTTCTGAATCCATCAGAAAGTAGCGGTTGCTATAACAGAGGCAATGTCTATTTCAGGGATTGTAAGTAATTAAGCATTATTTCAAAGTTTTTTTTATATTTATTTTTTTTAAGAAAAAGGTATAAACAACCAGCTAAACTGCCTTTTTTGTATGCACACACACCTCATGTGCATATGTGCCTCAGTGTAAATGTATACATGGATCTAGCGTGTGTTTAATTTTTCCGTGCTATAATGAAAGTGTTTATTTTTATTAGCCTCATTTATATTTAGATTGAATATGATGGCATTCACAGGCTTGACATATACAACTATATTATTACTGTTCCTGCACAAAAGTACTGTTCAAAAGTGATTCAACTCTCATGCACTGTGGTCACTGTTCTGCATTAGGTGGGGCTTGCTTTTTGTTTGAGGGCTGATTCAACTCTCCGATCCTAGTTTAGACAGGGGAAAGTGTATGTTCTTAGGAGCTGTGTTTATTTTTAAATCGATTTTTCAAAAGCTACCATATGTGCTGTCTAATATAAATAGGAGGACACCAAACAAAAATTTGCTATTAAAGTTATTGTTCTTGCTAAAAAAACAAAAAGCAAACATTTGTTATACTTGTTAAATGCATACAAAATGAGTTCACTCATTACAAAGACTAAAATTTAATTTACTAAATATTTTAACAAATTTGTTATATATTTTATTTAAGTAAAAAAAAAAAAAACAAACCTCTTACTGACCTATGTATTTATTATTATGATTTACTATGGCTTCAGGTTAATTTATCTGTGTTTGGTTGTTTGCTCAGGATGTTCTGTGAAGTATGTTTGTATTTATTTGCCTCCCTTGTACTTGATGTGTTTTGTAATGTGCACTGATTTTTTTTCTTTTTGTTTTTTTTTTTTTTTTTTTTTTTGTGTTTAAATGCATTGATGAGCTATACTGTAAATTAGACCTTTTGTAAAGAGCAATGATGTATGCATTTTTTAATTTGGAGTAGTTTGTATACTGTTTCTTCATACAATTAATATTTCTTACATCAAAACAACAAAATTGTGTTCTGTGCTGTACATTTGGTGTATGGTAGGAAATAAAATTGATAATGAAACATTGCAGGAAGTTTGTTGGGTTTTTTGGCCTCTAGATGCTGACTTGTATTACACTTTCTTAACTGCACCTGGCACTATACAACGTGTCATATGTTTTACTTGCTTTGTGTACAAAATGTGTCATCCCTGTAAGTAAATTTCTGGTATAAATAATTTAATTAGTGTTTTACTTTGTCAATTCGAAATAAGGACGAAAAAAATGGAACTGCTTAAGAGGTCTTTTTCACTTCTGAAGGGAAAAAAAAATCAAGATAATAATCACTGCATTATTTAATGCATTATTTCCTTGGCAGTTGTAGACTTCATTTATACTGATAAAGTACAGGATTTGTGCTGACCTTTAACAGCTGCTAAATGATGTTTAAACATAAAAGCCATTGTAAAGTTTCCAGCAATTCGGAACCGCCCACTGTTCCAGTGCAATTTTCTGCTGAGATTTGCAGTGCTTAGACATTGCACAAATAAAAATCTGCTGGTTTTAGAAAGACAATGTTTCCAGTATCTAATGGACTTTCTTTTTTCACTGCTCATTGTAGCGAAAACAGGCCAGTTTTATTTAGGATGAATGCTAATGGCTTCAGGAGCATTTCTTGCCCCAGATTCCAACTTCTCATGAATAGACCAAGAATAATTTTAATTTAGAAAATAAGATAAATTTAAAGCCCATAAAGTAGCTGGTGATTATTTATTTGAACGGGCATAGTTAGATAAGCCCAAATGGCCTCTGACACTAGAAAACCTGACATGTTCTACATTTAAATAGAGCAGAGGTTCAAAATTTGGATCATGACATGAATCCCGGAGTCACCTATCTTGCTGAGTTTGGAACTGTAGAGCCAGCAAAGGGCTGGGCTGGACACAGAGCTGTCCTGGCAAGCTCTGCTTCACTGGGCTTCAGAGTTTTCTTTGCTCTAGGACACTTATCCAAGGAGAGCATGAGCTTATCTTAAGTAATTTATAGTTACTTAAGTAATAGTTCTTAATAGTTCTTTATGAATATAAAATGGTATTTTTTCAGGGTCCTTTAAAATTACTGTTTAACTTTCGCTGTAGAGTTTCAGGTCAGCAGACACTAATGTCTCTTCTCATACATCACAGATGAAGCAGAAACAGGTCTCCTTTATTAACGTGCCTTAATGCTAAACAGGTAAAGTCTGAGGCCAAGATTTTCATTTTGTCTGACTGCCTAAATTCAAATTACAAATTTAGAAGGCCTTAGCGTAAGGTAGGCAGCTCCCCACAGTTCAGTTTTTAAAGATCTATACTAATTCTTATTATCTGTTATTTATAAGATTGGGGGAGGGCAGTGGTATGAGGATGTTAGGCTCTACATACATCTAAGAAAACAATGACGCATTCTCAAATGTTTCCAGCAATCTGAGACAGGGACTGTGAGCAAAGGAACACTTTTCCTAGTGGTTTTTGGTAAGATATATGATATCCACAGTTAATTGATTAAATTATTATTATTTAAAGGCTGTTCCTGCATTCATCTTTAAATAACTTGCTCTGATAATGTTTATTTCAGTGTTTAAAATATGGTCTTTCTCCATTAAAAAAGAATAATTTAAACAGTTAAGCCATATTCATTACTAAACTAACATAAACTATGGGGGGGGGGGGGAAACAACAAAAGATGTTGTGCTTGAAAAAACATTTCAAATCTTTCCTATCTTCTGAATTTTCTGTTTTTAATAATTGTTATGTATCTATGCCTATAGAATGGGGAAAAGTGCTTAGTTCAGTAAAAATATATCAATTCCATTGATTGAATTAACTTGAATTGAAGATTTAAATATCGAAGAGAAGGGGAGCAAGAACAGTCAATATTTGCTAGCCTATCTGCTCAGGAAGTCTACCCTGTGTCTTAATTAATCATGATGAAGGTCTTTGAGACTATGGTGTAGAAAACTACTGCAATCTTATTTATATTTACTAATGAAGCACCTCTTCTCTCCTGCTGGCTTACTCTATCTAATTATGTCATGGCTTTTAAATTCAGCGTCCCTTCATCCTACCCATCTTGTACTTTTTTTTTTTTTTTTTTTTTTTTTTTTAGTTTTTAATAAGTCACAGGATTTCTCAATGGGAATTTGTTATCATGAAGCGACACACAGCTATGACAGCAGCCATTCCCTTCATTTCCTTCTGTGTTCCTTCAGTGCTGTACATACTACCTGTCTTGGCATTTCTGCTATGCTTACAGTTTTTTGTATGATTTATGCAGCAGTATAACTTGGACCCTGATGGGAGATTTGCACCAGACAAAGTCCTCTGTTCATCTTGCTCAGGATACTGTGGGAAGATAGAGCTCCATTTAGCTTTTGTGCAATGTAGGACAATGACCTAGTTTCAGTACCTTTCAATATCTCATTCTGGCTTGGTTTTGTTCTGTCTCTTTTGCTCTAGTAAGTCTTAGACAGCCAAGCTTACACATAATTTCATCAAGGATTAGTCTGATTTCCTGTCTGACTTCATGGTACAAATTGCTTCAACTGCATTTCATTCTTAATGAATGTTCCCAGCGACATTGTCTAAGTAAATCTCGGGACTTTTCGGTTATGTGATAACAATTACTATTTAGGTTGCTGCTACCTGCTCCTAAAACTGTTACTGCACAAGATTTTTCCAAACCAGATTTTGGTGCCCAGCATCGGATTTTGATGCCCAGTTTCACATCCTTGAAGGGGCTTTATTTTTAGAAGATAATTGTACAGCTATTTTTGCCAAGCAGGACCTTTTCGAAATTCCTTTCTCTGTCCAATCCAAATGACTAGTTACTAAGTTTTCAAACTACAATTTTATAGAATTGTTATATATAACCTGTGACCATCGATTTGCATGTACATTTCACTATAAAATTCTAGTATGGGTATGTGTGCCCATCCCAGGTACTGAAGAATAAAACACCATTGATATTACCCCAAGCCTTGTTCTGACCCTTACCAAACTCCTCTTTTACTGTCTGTGCACACCTTCTTTAAGCTTCTGATGGAAAATAAAAGAAGAAAAAGCAAAGGACCAAACCTTATTCTTTATTTAATTGAAGATATCATCTGTCCAACCAATTCCCTGTCACTGCTGCTGGAGCTGGAGCTGGGGCTTAAAGTATCTGGCCTGCAATATTCTTTAATTACGGTTATGTAGCATGTCATGTGCACTCCCTGCTTACTTCTGATACAACAAGCAAAATCTGGATTAGGAGCCAAGTTCTATGCTGATTTCAAATTCATTGGGATTAATTCATTTGATTGTTTAGAAGCAGGATGAGCTTAGTTCCTTTGGGAGGGGATTGCCTAGAACTGGGAAACAGAGTCACTTTCTTTAATCGTGATGTCTAGTCAAAAAGATTTTACAGAAGGAATGAAGGTTTTAAAAAATTTATAAAAACCTGCCAGGAAAATATGTGTAGAACAAATTCCTTTGGAGAAAAATGCAGTGCCATCTCCACGGACTGAAGAGCTGAGCTCCTTGCACAGACGCGTGTGGCAGAGGCACTGCATATAGAGCATCAGTGCTGGAGGCTGTGACGGGGACACCTTTTGTGTTTCCCAGATGGCAGGAGCTGAAACGGCACCTCTAGGCCCTGCTCAGTCTTTTGGGTAACTCTGAGCAAGATGCTTGATTTCAGCCCTGTTTTTACATCTGTGAAACAAGAAGATGAGCCACACACTCAAAGTGTTTTAAGAATGAGCAACACCAGTCTTACATAGGAGCATGCAGTACATGCATACATGTACAGTGAGGGAGAAAGAGCCAGCGCACACGTGTAAAAGCGTGTCCTAACTATTAATATACGTCTGGCATTATACTGTCAGTTTCAAAGTAGTAATTGCTGTGTTTGATGAAAGATATCTGCAATACTGCACTATATATTAAATGCCTCGATGGCTGTTGTTATAACTCTGAGGCGGTCACTTCATCCCCTGCATTTTAGAGGTGCTTCATGGTACTGGCTAAGACATTCAGATCTGCTGCTTCTGGTTTAGTTCTTCTGCCTGTCAGAACTGGCTCTGCTCTGTACACCACAGGTTCACTAGAAATCCCCACATTTCCCATTTCAAACACTATCAGCTCTTATGCACAGCCCATCATGTAGGTTTACCTCCCTTTTTTCCCCCCTCCTAAGGCATTATTCCAGTCCTCATTTTATTCCTGCGCTTCTTACGTTGTTTCCCTCAGAGATATCTTCCAGTTAGTGCTGCTGGTCAGTCTGAAACTAAATTTTCAAAATACAGAATCTAAATTTCAAAACAAGAGCAAAGACTATAAAAGCAGAAGCATTTTTTACTGAGATAATGGAGATCCTACAGATATTGTGGAAAATCATCTGATTGCTATGAGAGCAAAATTATGATTCACCGTAAGAGGGAAGAGGAGGGAGGCTCAGCTGTTACAGATTCTGTTTGGCAAGGGCCAGCTCCTGATCGGCATGAGGTACAACCCAGACTAGCAGCAAGAGTTAGTGCAAGGTTCGCCAGAGAACTGCACTCTTGTGCCTGGTGCAAAGGATGTCAGTGGTACAAGTTTTATGTGTGAATATGAACATCTGAGCGAGAAGGCAGGTAGGCAAGCATCGTCTATAGCTCCTGTGTCTCTTGTGACAGCGATGGGGTCCAAGGCACCGGGCAGAATTCCACAGGAGTTCATTGGGTTCTAGTCTACATCAGCTCCACCCAGTGCAGAACTGGCCTGTTTTCCAAACGTGGGGTTTTTCACCATTTTGTCAAACTAAATAGCCTCCCCAGCTTGCTCTGGTATCACCGTGAGCAGCGTTACTAACCCTGCTTCCTGGGGAAACACCCGCTACCTCCGAGCTCTGACTCACCCGGGGACGGGTTTGTGTCTGGAAGAGCGAAGGTGAACGTTTCCCACCGCACCTGGCTGGGCAGGCAGAGCCTTGCTGCAGAAACTCCCCAGCAGTGCAAAACTCTCACCGCCAGCGTGTCTGCTTTCGCAGGCTGAGATTTCGTGGGGGGTGGCTGGTGGTGGGGGAGGAACCGAGGTGCTTGCTGCCTGCTTTTTCTCCTCCCGACCAGGCAGCGGCTGCCCAGCTGCGCTCCCTCCCTTTTCCCCTCCTCCCTACCCAGGCCAGGCTGGAGGCAACCCTGGTGGGGTTTTTTTTTTCCTGCAAGAGGCTTAAATCTCCTTTCACCATCTTGGGAGCGTAGCGTGACTGCAGCCACCGCTGGCTGGCCTGGCTGCCACCGTTCATGATGCCCTTTTTATTACCAGATTAGAGGACATTGTCACGATGCGTATGAGGCCTTTCAGATAAGGCGCTGTACAAGTTCCAGCAGGTTCCAAATACAACAGCATGGCTTTCGCATCCAGCCTACGGGATCAGAGTTTATTTCCCCAATGCAGACAGCTTTGCACTGCCTTCCTGTTAATTAAAGTATTGATTACAATACCGCACTGTTTACATGCAAGATTTTGCATGGTCTTGGCCATTCACATGCAAATGAACTTGTAAGCCTTTCTGTGCCCCAAAATCTGCTGATGTCAGTCTTCCAATTCTAACTCCATGCTGTAGGACATGTGGCTTTCTATAGCTTAGCTTTGATGCCCCCAAGTCATATTATCTCAATTCTGAGGTTCATTATGATAAATCATTCACTGGTTTTAAATCAAAAACTTTAATTGTACCGTACTTATTCAGCTTAGGCTTTGGCTCCTGGAGGCAGCAGTTTTAATTGCATCATTTGTATAGTGGCCCAATATGTTTTGGTGTGAAGAGTGCATTATCACGTTTAATTTTGCATTATTTTTCCCATATGTTTTAGTTACACTAAAACTTCAGATGGGAGGTGATGAGGCTTTCCCACTGCTCTCTCATTCTCTCTTCAGTGTTTTTTAATGAGCTAAGACCACACTATTTTCTTTTGTTCTCATCGGTTGAGGTTTTAGGGAGCTGTTTATTTGTAGGGTAATTCTTGTATTTATGTAGAGCAAGGCATTAGACATTTTTATCCTCTACTTATTAACAAGCCAGATGGTACCGGCTGCTACCCACACAATTCCAATTATCAGATGGCAAACTGAAATATACGTGGGGCAAATGAGAAGATGTATATTAAAGAAGCATCACGGAGAATTGGCTTCTCAGAGATGTTGATTCACAAAGGGGTACTAGCAATTAGGGTGTGACAGCCTGCTGCTGAACGTACAGTGTTGGCCTGGGGGCACAAGCATTCAGCCTTCAAAATCTTAATACTATCTCTCTGTTTCTCCTATGGTATGAATACTTTGAAATTTGATTCAGGTCTTTCATCCTTTAGATTTCTTGTCCACTTCAGAGTGAGGTGTAATATCAAAGCCAGTAGGTAAGTTAGGGTTTCCTAGAAAGATACAGAAGAGCTGAAAATTAACATGAAGTCTGCGCATCACCTCTCCTCATACACCCTCATGCACTTTTGGCATGCACCTCAGTGACCCAGGAATAGCATTAACACCGAAATGTAAGATCCAGAAAAGTATTGGTATTCCAGGTCTCAAACTGACCTAGAAATTACAATCTACACATGGATTTATTCTTAAGGCCAACTTTCAACTTCAGATTTAAATATAAGGAGGTCTGATCACACTTGTTATGGTTGGCTTCATGGTCTTTTAAAAACAACTTTCTTAAATTCAGAACCTAGGCCCAGTCCTTACTTAGGGATTCACCCGACATCAGTGACACACGCTACTAACAAGGAATGAGTGTTTCAATGGAAGGTTTTATAACGCTTTTAGTTTTTTCTGGCCCTATCAGAAATGTTTTGGGGTAAAAATTGTGTTCTCATGCTTCCTTTATTTTGACATAGAAATCATACACGTGAGTTGGCTCGGAAGATGGGGAATCGTGTGGGAAACCTTTTGTGTGACATTTCTTGTCCTTTTCACTACTGGCTCAAGCTGAAAGTGCTAACCCAAACCAAACTGGGAGAAATTGATGTCCTCAGGTCAGATCAGCTAAAGGGAAGTTATTTAAGCTAAAGTAATGGCTTTCTAAAGTCCTTCAGTTGTTCATATAGGCTACTAGGAGATTAAACATTTATGTGAGCGGATTTTGCAAAAGTTGTAATGTCAAGAATTTCAGATTGTCTCAAGTTTCTGTTTATAGTATCCAACCAAGAGAACACCTTCTCTTTCAACAGCTGCTCTCACGATGCCAGGGAAAAGGTATTCTCCTTGCAGCTGTTCCTGGCTCTAACACTTATAACCTACAGATCTTAGGGAATTCTCTTAACAGGATGAGTCTGAAAAACAAATTTTTAAACACCATTTACACTTCAAACAGTTTACTACATTCAAATGGTGCATCTGCAAATTCTCATTCCTATTCACAGAGAAGTGAAAGATGTGTGCAGGCATTTGTCTGCCATTTGGTTACACAAGTGCACGGATCAGCAACTGTGAAGAAGCTGGTGCTTATTGTGTCTCACCTGCCATCTGTGAAGTGGGGGGGACTAATAATGTTCCTTCTTGCTGTTAGCAGTAGACTTGAGCAAGATTTTCAGTGGTCTCTAGGATGCTGTAAATGAGATCCTAAGTGTAAATCAGTGATACAGCTATTCACAGAGTCTTGGGGAATTCAGACAGAGCTTTTATACCTGGCTTACTTCTACCAAAACCACCCCAAAACATTGTTCAGTGCTTGCTCAATAAATGCTCATTCTGGTGAAAGTGGCCCACTGCCTACTTTGTGTTACCGATGTTCCTCTAAAAGGTTAAGCAAAGTAGAAAGATTAAAACTAAGCATCGCCTTGAATCTCCAAGATGCAACTGCTAGTCTCTTCCAGTCTACGTAATTGTCATGAGGGTTCACTTTTTTTGCTTCAGTTCTTTAAAATCTGCAAGGCCAAAGTTCGATTTGATTTCTCAAAATAAGAAAGCCAACACTAGATCAGATGCTTGGAGATCACTGGCATCCAAATTATTGTCAGGTCTGGATTGCAAAGAAGTGATTCAATAGCTGAACATCTGTGTACTTCCTCATGTAGAGTTGCTGTCTCACCCACAGGCAGCTGTGGAGTAGACAGGCAAAATTCTCTACATGGTGATAATTACAGTCTGCATTACAAAGCAGGCATAGTCATAAGAGCATGCAATCAGTTTGGGTTTTTTTAACTTTGGAACAGGGCAACACTGCTAGATCCAGGGCTAAAACAAATAAAATAGGTTTCTCAGCCAAAATAGAGGAATAGAGGAATAGTCAGATCTGAACAAGATTAATAAATTCACTTACTGAGAAGGAAACTTTTTTCAGTGTCAGCTTTGCTTCTATAGAAACAATGGCTAAGAACTACCCCAAGCACCCAAATTCTTCCAGAAACTGAAATACTGTTGATTCTCTATGGATTTGTAATTTGCTTTAATATGCTTTTATTGCTCACTACATGTGCCTGCCTGCTCTATTTTAGGCATTAGCATTAGCCATTATATTATCATTACTTATCACCAGGTTAGTGGTGACAGCTGAGTATCCTTATCAAAGCTCATGATCTTTTAAGCCCTTATCATATGCTCTTTCAGTCTCTTGGTTGCATTTTTATAGGAGAGCTATTGCAGCCAGGAAAAAAAAAAAAAAAGGAAAAAACAAAGCAAAAAAAAAAAAAAAAAAAGCTGACAATGAAATTTTCTCTCACCCAAGGCAAGCAGTTATGCACCACAGAAAGCCTATGAAATAGAGCTTAAATTAGATAAAATGGAGTTTAATAACTGCAAAAGCCTTGTATGCTTGTACAGGACTGCCTTTTCCCTACACCCTGTATCTATGAGCTCAACTTTCTTTTTCATTGCTAGGAGCTGAAAGGCATTCAAGTATGAAACAGTGCCTTCCTTGGGTTAATTCTGTCACTTTGAATTTGTTGTTTCAAGTTTCACATGTGAATATGAGTGTGCTAGTATGACATTTTGGAGATCACTGCCCACACATCCAGAGAGAACAGTCTCATCCCAGGTAAACAGAGCAGCCTGGACTATGGCAGGAATGAAAATATGATAAAATATAAGAATTATGCCAAATTACAAGAAGATTAATCTATGTTGGGAGTTTAATTTTATACTTTACTGTAAAATGCCTGTGTTTTATTATCACAGGGGTTTCTGGTACAGTAATGACTACACAGCAAATTCCTCTTCCAAGCAGTAGTTTGCTTCATGTATTTACATGACATCTGTGGTGAAGTGAATAGGAATCAAGTTACTAGTGTTTTTTTACCAACAGCAAGTTTTGGTTTTGCACCTGAAATATTCAGTAACTGTATTTTATTCGTTATCTTAACAGGTTCCAAAATTTCACAAATTTTTCCCTGAGGGAAGCTAATAGACACAGCAAGATTTGTGAGGAAAAAAGTCATAGGTCACTCTATAAAAGTAAACCAGCTGTCAAGGTTTTAGTTGTTCCCTTAATAGGTAGCTGTGGAAAGGCATTGTTTGGATAGAATAATTGCAAATCTGAGATTGTGGCATTACATGATGCGCTCAGGAGGAAAATAAGGAAATGGAAGGTTTAATTTAAAGTAAAAAAATTATTTTAAAGGAAAACCCATTGAAGAGGGCTGGAGCTGGAGAGTGGTAATGGGAGCCCCGCTCCTGCCTGCAGTCATGGCCAGGTGGAAAACACAAGCTGGGCATGGACTAAGGAGACTTTGTCCTAAACATAATTTTCTGACATGCCTGGCACAAGGGCGTGTGGACAACGGGCACCTACTGATGGCTCTGGGTGCTTAAAGCGCAGGACACCTGGCAGTGATGGTGCTGGGGGCCCCCTGCCTGGAAAAGCCTGTGGGGTGGGTGCAGGCAGCCCCTGGCCCCTGGCAGAGGCAGGCTGGGCTTGCTGGCCCAGGGGAAAACCTTCGGTGAGCGGGTTTGGCCCGTCTAAAGCCCGCAGAGAAGCCCTGGCCCATCGCTGCCCATGCTCATCGACGCGTCCCTGAGTGGCACTCGCGACTCTCAGGGCAGCGGTCCTGAGGGCTCCCGGGGGGCTCCTAACAATTTATGCTCGCTGGGATTCAACCCTGTGTATTTTAGATCCCACGACAGAGAGCAAAAATTCAGCAAGACGCTTCAACATGTTCCTGTGAGTTGAACAGAGTTGTTCTGCTGACCTTAATGGGGCTATTCACACGCTTACTGCAAGGCGTGCGCTGAAGTACATTGCTGAATCAGCTCTTATGTGTGTACTAAAATATAACAGTGATTTCTGCAATCAAGGCCAGTGCCAAGCTCTGTGCATCCCTGCCTAGAGTCAAGATATTAGACCATTGCTGCAGTGTGTAGTAGCTGGCATTGCAGCTCCTCTTCTCGGGCCTGCTGAAGATGAGCAGGAAGCATCCACACAAATTGGCTCACACCGCTTCTTTAATAATTCATGTATTTTTGCTCTCTTCTATAGTTAATGAACCTCCCCCACTCTCACCCTCATTCTCTCTCCCTCTCCCATTCAGTCAGTTTGTTGTGGTTTCATGTATCTAATCCATCTGTCACTCGATTATAGCTATCGAGCACCTGTTATGGATTTCTAGAGTTTCATTCAAGCTGTTGACAAGTTATTCACAAATTGGCCCTTGTCACACTGTCATCGTGTGGAGTGCACTTTAGTGAATTCTTTTGGGTACACAAAATAATGAACAGAAGACAGCAAGGCTTGTGAATTAAGCAGTTTCATGTCCCCAATATTTAAAGAACCGTTAACAGATTGGAAGTTTCTTGTTGGTGATATATTTTTCAAGTCCGTTTCTTAAAATATTTTGTCTTCTCCATCCAGACCCCTTTGCATGAATAGTCACAACACAACTTGCTCTCAGGGCAAGCTATGTTGACAATGATGCCTTATTTTATACAGCTTGCGTTGCAGCTGCGGCAAGTTGATCATTGTTTCCTCTGCACAAACCTCCTTGCCTACGCTGCTCTGGAATTAGCAGGGAAAGCAGAGGGCTGGCCGGCCGGCCCTCATTAGCTGCAAAGCTCTTCCTAGGTGGGCATTTGGTTTATTTTGCCCTGGAGGACACCAGGCAGAAATCAGGTATCAGAGGTGACAAAGATCACTATCCACGAGTGAAACATCTCCGGAACATAGCCTTAAGAAAAGTTAAGGTTAAAAGCAGGTTTGGCTATGTCTTGAAAAATTCTCACTTTCTTAACAAAATTTCAAAAATCTCAGTACCAGAAGGTCTAGAAATAATATTTTTCACCCAGTTTTTACTTCTGTTTCTACACAGTTGCTTACTCCTCATTCCTTAGCCTTTTGTCCCGTCCTGCTTGTGTACCCCTTAGTTTCTGTATGGGCTCTGCTGTCATTCCCCAAATGCTCTTGACATAATAAACAGTTTTTGAGTGTGTAGTAAGGACCTTGAAAGTAATGTGGCACCAGGATAACATAAGCTAAAAGAGAATTCTAAAATATTCTCACAGTGCAGCATGTTGGTGGTGTAGAAAAATGCATTTGCAAATAAAGGCAGAGTGATTGATCTGTTTGCATCTATGAAATAATTTATTTATGCGCAGCTTGGCTCGAAACAAGTAAATGTAGTGCATGCATATCTGTATATTTAAATCTATTTTGCATCAATAAACATATGTACATTTTTCTAGTGTAGTCTACGAATCCTTTGAATAAGATTCCAGGATCTTCAGTGTTTCAGCTTTTTCCAGAGGATTTTTGGTTTTTTTTTCCAAATTCAAAAAGACAGAAGTTAAAGTTTAGCAATTGCCTTTTCCATATGGGGTGCTAATATAGCACTAGAAAATTATCTGGCAATTGCAAAGGGGCTAAATTACTTCTGATCACTTATTAGATTTCTTACTGTTTACGGGTTTGATGTTTTAAGATACATTTTCCTTTGTGGTTTCACAGGGAGAAATCCAGCCAGTCTGATCATTGCTGTGATAAACCAATAGGTGGCAGGACTTCAAAGCAAACTGTGAAATAATAAAGCCATGTTCCATTAAAACAAAGCTTAAAATAGAAAGTGCAGCTGTCTCAATAGTTAATAGCTTAACAGTTAAGTCAGAAGAAGTTCTTTTTAGAGTTTTTTGAATATGTTTATAATTATTCAATGTTCAATCTGTGAATTGCAGTTCAGATACTCACAAAAACTTCCCCCCAATTAAACGAAACAAAGTCTCAGGGGAGTTGTGGGCTAAGTTTCGAAGGGCATTTAGGTATTGGAGCATGCTGACAGGCAACCCATGGTTTTTAAAGCATGTAAGATTCAGATGTACAAAATTACTTAGATACATAAATATTTAGTTACTTATGCTGACATGACACTGATCACGTGTAGGGATCCCAGTATAAATGGGTTGTGATTACAAATCCCGCTTTCAAAAACAATCCGTTGCATTCAAGCCAGATCATAAGGCCAAGTTATGCACCGGAGGAGGCTTCACCGAGCATTTTAAAACCACATTGCGGTGAAAACATCAATGCAAATCAGTAACAATACTTTCCCACCTGCTGCTCTCCAGCGCATTCCAAACAGCCTGATCACACCTTCAGCACCGCGGCAATGAGCTGCCCTGAGCCCTGCCTCAAACGGAGGTCCTGCAAGCCCTGACACCAGGATTTCAGCCTGGGTACCAAACCAGTCCTGTTATTAGTGTCTTATCCATCCACCAGTGTCCTCGGCATGCCCGAGGCATGCTGTCTCGCAGGACCACAGCAGAAAAATAAATACAAGCCACCCCTAGCTGGAAGGAAAGCCCGACTCCAGCTTACGTGACGACTGAGGGATAATGAGAGTCACACAATCAGCTCAGCAGAGATGGCCTTCAGGACAGGCAGAGGTTTTGACGACTGGGGCACAGGCTGCTTAGGCAGTTGCCTTGGCTGTGGTGTCCGCGTCCGGCGGCGAGCTCGCAGCCAAGGGTCCCGAGCGAGGGGAGCCGCCTCTAAACTGGCATCACATCAGTTGCTTAGACACATAAGCCCCATTCTTCAGCCTCGCACTATTGGCTAATTCAGGCAGCTCCCTGCTCAGCTGTTTGCCTTAAAAAGCTGAAAATCCCTTTCTTACGAGCTTAACAATTCCCGTACAGGGAGACCAAGCTGCAAACAGGCATGTAAGTTGGTGCTGAAATTCCAAGCTGAGAGCGGCCGAGGAGCTGTGTTGTGCTCCTCTGCCAAACAACACTGAAAACCGTCTAAATAAATCCCCTCAAATCCTAAATCTTGCTGGCTGTAAAAAAACTAGGCTAGGGGTGCTTAAATCACTTTTGAAAATGATGTAGGATTCTAAGTCACTTATGTGCCCTTGAAGCATTTACCCTTAAAAAGAGGGATGCTGGAAAGTGATTTTCCTCCCAAGTACTACTGTTAACTTTGTGAAATTATTCCTGAAGTGTGCATGAATAAAAATTATTCATAGAAATAAGGGTATCACCATCTGTCTAAATAAAAAGAAACCATAAAACAGGCCCAAAACCATATTGGTGTTTGGGCTTTTCCAATGAATCACTTTAAATGAATAGGTTTTCATTGGCTTTATAAAAAAACATCATGTATTTCTTCTATTTTTTTAGCATATGAACCCAACATGTTTTCTAAGTATCACTGATAGGTGATCTGGGCATTTGATTAATGGTTCCTGGTAATGGGGGTACTTCGGCCCTTTGAATTGTTTTCTTGTGTGATGCCAAAAAGAAGTCTTGTGTGTTTTATAACTGCTGAAGTATTTTACTGTAAGAACACTCCCTACACCCCAAGTCTTATTTCTATATGAAAAAATAATAAAGGTTATAAAAATGACATGCTTTACCTCCATTTCAGTTGTTATTAGTCCTTTGTCTTCAACAATATGATTTAGGGGTGTTCCTTCCCACTCTGAAACGGTTTGAGTGAATATATTTGAGGAAAAGAAGTAAGTATCATTCCCATAAGTAGCTGTTGAAGATAGCTGACAGAACTGGGTAAATTTGGCTGGATTCAGTTGTTGGTTACACCACTGAAAAATCAGCACAACTCTAATTTTTGTGCATGCTTCTGATGGTGCTGCACTTCCATGAAACGCGCCTGTGGTTGGGTGTGAGGCTGAGCAGAACTCCTTGTCTTAGTGTTGTGTAGTTGCCTGCTCTCTTGATCAAAGGCAGCCTTTGCATATATACTCATTTCCTTTAAATGCTTTTCCTCTCATCAATTCTCAAACATTTTAAAACTGAGCTTTTCTCTTGAATAATTTAGGCCCCTCCTTATGGTCATTGATGTGAATATACTACATGTATTTTCATCTCTAGCATGACCTAAACGCTACCTCCCAACCTCCACCTCACTTCCCATTTTCATTGTGTCTATTCCCCCTAAAAAGATCACTTTTTTCAATACCTTAGGAAATCCACCACTGCCAAAGTGATGTGTTCTGTTCTCTCCTGCAGTCCACGTGGCTCTCAGCAACCCAACTCAGAGCTGCTTCTGAGGAGGGGAATCTGTGAGAAGGTTGGTAGTACAGAGCAGGGAGGAAAAGTGAGACAAGACCAAAAAAAAACACAGAAATTTTTTCTTAGACCTTCTTCTGCTCCGAAGATTAATTGAGTCTTTCCTGTACATCACCAGTTCAAGTACTATTGGCCTAAGTTGTCTCTTCGAGCCATACAGGCGGTCGTGGGGCTGAGCTGGCTTTATGGCAGGCAGTTGTGCTATTTCCTCCACTTGACAAGTATAATCTCCTGCCACGTCTTGTTCCATTTTCTTCTCTCGTTACTGAAGAGATGCTCAGTCTCATAAAATCTGACACACCGTAAGAAATTCTGTGTACTCAGAGCCTGTGCATGTAGATGACTTAAGGCATACAGTAGATGGTTGACTTTGCATAGAACAAAGGCTCCCAAATTCATTGTTAGGGAATACCTGTGGGGGGAGGGAAAAAAAAATGAAACAACAAAATCCATCCTACTTGCCTTTTGACATGTACTATAAAAAGACTGAGTTAGTGAGAAATAGCTTACGCATACCAAATAAAAATGTGCTGGTTCAGCTTTTTTCTTTGGGGATTAGCAAAGAGAAAATTGGTTTATTTTTGGTGCCATTTCCTTCCCTGGGCCCAGAGAAAATCAAAACTCCAGATTCTGCCTAGGTAAGGGTTTTAAAAAAATGTGTAGATGCGTAAATTTTTTTTTTCTAGTTAATATTGCTAAATTTAAAGTTTGCATTAACTAACTGCTAAGTCTTACATGTAGACTACTTATTCACAAATGTCTATAAAAATATTAAAAATCTTATTAGCATTTAAATAAACATTTAAATAAATGTTTGCTATGGTGCTAATTTTACCTTCTTTCATTCAGCTATCTACCACATTCTTAGATAGAGAGGTTCACAGTAATGCAAAAATGTAGCAGCTCAGGACTAGAACAATTTCTATGCAGAAGGCAGGGTGTATCACTGCTTACAAATATATGTATGTATGTGAATATATATGTATATATTGGTTGAGAAACTATCATATATATTAGTTGTGGTAGCTTCATAGCTTTATATAAAAATATATTAATGTGAATTATAAATATAAATTATAAATATAAATAAATTTATTTTTATTTTGATGAAAACTGTTTTGATTACCACTGTACCTTAGACAGTTGTCAATAGTTGCACAAATACAACCAGATCAGACTGGTAAATTCTTGCCTGTTCTGCACAAGGGTGTATAAACAATATCAAAACCCACATGAGAATGATGAATCAGGTCTGCCAGAGGAATTTTAACTCATTTGGGGGCCAGCCATACAGTAGTACAAGTGCATTTTTCTAATAAAAATTTAGTGTCATTTAAAGCCACTGTATAAAGTGTTCTAACTCAGTTGCATAAGAGCACAACATTAAAATCAGTCAGGTAGTGGTAAGATTCTCTTTCAGTGACTCCTCATCTCAAAAATCTGCATTTCTGAATAAATCCCCTCGCAAAAGGCTTTCACTGTCTTTACACATTGACCTTTCAGCACACATAGGGTGAGTTGCCATTAAAGGTTTTTTAGGACATTATTGGTGAGTGCAATTTTTTTACTTTAATTTTCATGCTGCTTTGCTTTTGACTAGGCACGAGGGATATTTTTAGATTATTGATGACTGCACCATCTGGCTGTATTCTATTAATACCGATATAACTGAGTTTTGCAAACTCTTTCTCCTTCAGTTCAAACCCTTAGGCAACGTACCCTTCCACAGCTACAGCAGGTACGCCAGAGTGAATGACCTTGGTTGCATTAAGCACAGAAAGTGTTTGCTCATGTTTTAAGCAGTATTTCTACCTGTACTTTCTGGCAGTTGGGAATATGGGACTTGAAAGTAAGAGGACGGAAACAGATTTCAAGGTTAATTATCTTATATCCTCAACTCGCAAATGCGTCTGGATTTTGCTGAGTGCAGAAACTTGACGGTTGGGGGTTTGGTGGTGCTGTCATGGTCCAAAGCCATGTTGAAACGCCTTGTCCACTATGAAGAGCTGCAAGAGGGCCCTCACCAAGGGATTGGAACTTCAGCATCAGATTTGTCAGTCCAGTGGTGGAGTTGGACATGGAGAAGTTCACGCTATTTTTGAGCCTTGAAAATTTCCTTCTTGGCCTTTAATAGGTTGATCAGAAAGCAGTGTCTGGTTTGAGTTTTTTGCAAACTCTTTTCCTCATGGTTTCCATCCTGAAGAGAAGGGTTCAAATATTTCAGTACTCACTGCTTTCCTTTTAACATCAGCTTTGCCTGACCTGCCTGTTTGTTTTTTAGGTTCTGGTTACTTTAATACTATTTTCAGTGCTTCCATCATTTAAAAAAACCCCACAGAATTCACAAGAATCATGGATTAAACACTTGACAACCTAGTTACACTGAATGTTGTACTTTGTTTTTGCTAGTAATAATGAAGTTGTTTAACCATGATTTTGTAATCCTTAGAACTGTGATGTTTTCCTGACATTTTTCTGAGAGTTAATCCTTGAAAGCAAAAAATTGTTGGCACAAGGTGTTTTCATACTACAGTGTTGAATATCCATGAACCTAAAACCAAAAGCTAGCTATAGAGTTAGAGAAAGTGAATCGCAAATAGTGAATGTCCTGCTTCTGCTGCAAACCATATGTTAAGGAACATTTTTAAAGAAATTAATATGCAAAAAAACCCCACAAAATTGTTTGTGAGAAATTTATTGAGAGAAAAAGATGAATTAGAAGTTTGTAAAAGTACCGTTATTTGGTATTTATTTTGAATTATTTATGATTTATTTGTCAAGCTCAAATCAGAACAAAACCCAACATTATAGTGTCACTGTCATCTTGATATAGACATGTGTGTCAAGATATCTAGATAGACAGATAGCAACCCTCTTTAGGGAGGTAATGACAGGACTTGAAACAAGAATACTGCTTTGCAGAACAAAGTCCATTATCTGAGAGCAGGAGCAGCGCTTTACAAACTTTTATTCAGCCATGGTGGAGAAACAGTTGGCTAAAAATATAGTATACTATTTTTGTGCTGGTTATAAGCCCCTGACTATAATTCTTATGGAAATTATTTTTATCTTCTCCAAAGGGAAAATGTTTTGGAAACTCCCTGTGGGTTTCTCAGACTGTTGGTTCATTACACGGATTACTCCTGCAGTGTTTTGGGCTCCCACACTCTGGACTGAGTTGTGATTCTATATCTATCTGCATTTCTTCCTTTCACTGGCTTTTTCTTTCTCCAACCCATATTTTTCCCCACTGGGAAGTAAATTGTTTCATATTTTTCATTTGAAGCTAAGGCTCCTTAAGTGACTCCCATTGAGTTTTTCCAAATCAGGTTCCATTAGCAGAACAAAAATGAAAACAATTCCTGCTGTGGTGAGCCTTAAGAAATGGGTTGTGTAATGAACCAAGAGAATGGGTGATTGACAGTCAAGAATTTAGTTGGCTTTAGCCCATTTAATGGAGCCAGGATACATATGGAAAAAACCTCACTAACAAATAGACTCCCATGTCTTTCCTAATGTCAGCAAATAATCAACCTTATATACCAAGGTAAATAAATACTCAGGATTAAGGACCTTGATAGTATATGTCCCTGACAATGAAAAAACATGTCTAATATTCTTTCTTGGGGTTAAAGAAGCAAAATTAACTCCACAGCTACTATTGCCAGCTCTGTGATTTTGCACTAGAGCACAAGCAATAATGGGATGGAGGAAGAGCTAATACGGACAAGGGATCACAGACTACTAGTATAGTACTGTAATAGCAGAACAGCAGAATACCAGGAAGTGTAGAGATGTCCAAGAATTTCTGGGAAAAAAAAAGTGCCACGGTGCCAGCTGGGCTCTTTCGTGCGGGCTCACCGGCAGCGCGTTGGGGCCCCGGGGGGGTCCTGCAGAGCCACTTTGGTGTGCGGGTCCCTCAGCAGCCCACACTTTACCTGCGGGGGTAGACTCAAGCACAGCACCCGCACAGGGAGCAAGTGCAAATCACGTGCTGCCCTGAAGTGAATAAATAATCCTCCCAGCACATGTGTCCTGATGGACTGGCGTGCTAAGGCAAATCAAAGGCTCTTCTTGATGAAGTGGGAATTCGGTAGTTTGATGCACCTCATCCTATTAGCTCTGTATCACCAGTGACAACAGACATGGGCTGGACCTGCGGAGCTGCTCTGATGTGTCTGCAGGGGGTTCCCTACAGAATTATCAAGGAATCCACCCCATTCTGTGTGTCTTCCGTGGGTGTTCACTCTTCCAGATCTACAATGCTGTAAAGCAGGAGGAGAAACAATAATTTTGTAAGCTATCAGCATGGGTCTACCGCAGTCAGAGGGTAAACCTTGCTGGACCATGTGCCTAAATGATGCCATGTGAAATGGTGAGAATACCTTGTCACTGTGCTGCTTATTGTAAGAATGTTCCAGGAATCTCAGCGAGAATGTTCTGGGGTAACTAAAGTAACTAATTTAAAACAGATCTGACTTCTTAGATAAAAGGTTGCCTTTCTCTGAAAGTCTGTCTTTGACATACCTCAAATAGTGACTCAAAACCTGGGGTGGCAACGGCTACTAGATGACTCTGAAAAGTGTGGTCTGTGCTTTATGAAATTCCACGCTCCTTTTAACTAACAGATAATCTATTAAAATGATGATCCTCCAGAATATAGTGCATCAGATTTTTCACACTCAATACCAAATCAATTATACTATCCCACAAAATGTTCCCGTGGTATCCCAGAGTATGATATCATAGGCCAACTTATCTTTTCTAAGCAGTGAACATTTGCAAGTGACATAGGTTTAGGGGGAGAAAAAAAGCCTGCAGCATTTCATGCAACAGGCCCTTTCAGTTGCATTTTTCCACCCTAAAGTGTAAACCATTACCTGCTGTGGTTTGGGTGTTGGTTACCGGGTTCCTCAAGGTTCCACCTCAAAATCTGGAGAGACTCAGATCTCAGCATTCAAAGTCAACCCTTAATTACCTCCCAGGCAGGGAGGAGAGAAGAAGTCTGATCTGCACTGAAAATTACCTGTTTTCTGCTTTTCAGTCATTCTTTATCTACACGTTTTTTGTTGAAGGCAAGATGAAAACATTCTGACCCGGGGAAAGACCAATGAAGTTGCTGTGCTGTGAGCTGCTGTAGAGGGAAATTGCATTTTCTGGTTAGTTCTGAGACACGTTTTGTGTTGATAGCACTTTTGGATAGCTCTAGTCTGGACAGTTGGACCACAGTGTCTCTATCTGGAAAAAACAAGTGTTTTCCTCCCTCTCCATTATCCTTCAAAGGACTACTAGCATGGGTTGATGAAAAAATTAGCTAATCTTTAATAAAATAGATGTATTGTCTCAGAGGACTGTGCTATGGATAGCAGCACATGTTCTTCACAGTCTGGAGGTAGTGACCTGAAGAAAGCT